TTTGAAGTTTAAAGTGCGTTTTATTCGCGACTGAATTACGGAGAAGAAAATATAATATTGTATATATGTTTAACAGTCACCATTAGTACATGGTGAATGTCGACATTGACCGGTGTAAGTCAGAAATAAGAGTATTTGGAAAATATTTCGGGCATACACCAAGAGACTATGTGAATGTTGACATTCACCGACATTCTCCAGATTTCGGTGTTTCACCGTAACATATATATACATATAAGTTGTTTTGCAGAGAGGAATTATGTGCAGGTTTTAAATTTAATGTTTGGTGTTTCCTTTACGCATTTTTACGGTACACATAAAAGCCAGACGAAGGCTGGCCGCGTAGCGGATAGTAATTAATAAATTGAGGAATTACTAGAGGGCCATAATGAGCTCAAATAGAAAGAACTACAACAGTTTTAGATGACGGTAACCAAAGGTGACTAGAGCGGGAAAGGCTTCAGAGAAAGAGGAACGTAGAAATCATGATCTTAGTTATATCATTCTAAAAAGTTCTGAAAAATGGTACATCTATTGCTTTGTTAGGGTTACATTGTTTAATGGAAACTTTTCACCTTATACCATTTTTCAAAACTTTTGAAAATGATATATAACTAGTCACTGCTTTTTCGGATGCCACAGACTGTCCTTTCATTTCACCATCGATAGGGAATAGCTGATATACTTTGCACTTTGTAATCGATTACGAAGTCTGGATGCTTCGTTTTATGTTTTATTCCGAATTGCGATAAGGTTGTTTTATGCGGTAGGGTTGTATGTAGAAAATCTGTAGAACATAAAGTGGCCCTATTTAATTTTTTTCTTATTATACACGAGACTGGATTGCGAGACTTGTTATATACGAGACGCAATGCGAATAAATCTCTATGATACAGTCAATTGTTTCCGTTACTCGAACTAATTCATCGTGACACCTTTTTAAAAGTCTTAATAGACAGAAACTGGCTCGGCTCCCATTGCCGATACAATGATCAAAAGTATTGTTTAGCTTAGTTCTTTGTTAATAAAAAAACAGCAATCGTGCATGTAATGAGTCTAAAAAATAATGAAAATTAATATACGTCTGTATTGTCTGAGCATAAATAATGCATGATTTCAAATTAGATATTAGAGTCTAGTGATTGTATATGTACGATTTAAAATAATGGTTATGTATGGTAGAGCACATGACGAAAAGAACCATTGAATTTTATTTATTTGAAAATTTCGTAATCGATAAACAACGCCCACTTTCTTATCGATGATACAAGCCTGTCTATCGATGGTGAAGGACAGTACAGGGTGATTATAATTAAAGTTTAAGTTTCAAAACGCTATAAAAAAAGAACCACTCATGAAAATGACGTCAAATTTGAAAGGAATGTTATTGAAGAAGGGCGGAAAGCGTATGGCAGAAGAAAAAAATTAGTTTCAAAAGTTAGCAACAGATGGCGCTGCAAGCGGAGGAAGAAGACGTAAATTAAAATGTTAGTTAAATTTCAGTGTTATAAAGCCGCCAGGTACCAGGCTGTTCCTCATTTTGCGACTCAGGCGTTCGCCATGGGTGTTTCACTTGCAGGACCGCGCTCTGCTGGTAAAGCTGTATTACAAGAATGATGATTGTGCAAGAGTAGCTCTGCAAAAAAATTCAGGACACTGAAGGGTATAAAGAAGGCGTTGGTCCAATGAGTGTCGTAGGTCTAAAGAAAATTATGCAAAAATTCGAAACGACAGGTACGAAACATCCTGCAATGCTATCCGTACAAAAATTGGCCATGTGCAGGAGTTGCTTCCTTTCTGACTGACAGCTAGGAGAGACGTTGGAAATTTTCCACGGCCATTCATTATCCACTTTCCATATGACCATAAGCCCATTTCCCATATGACAGGATACGTGAAATACCCAGAATTGTCGAATATTGGCAACAAAAATCCACTGGCAACGCACCCCGTACCACTTCATCCTGAAAAGAAAGGTCACGGTATGGTGTGGCTTTACGGCATTAGTCATCCTACAACCATATTTTTCGAGCAGACGGGTGCTTCCGGTCCTGTTACCGCAATCGTCACTGGTCAGAGGTATGCGTCCCTTTTGCGCAACCACGTGATTCCAGCTCTGCAACAGCGTGGATGTGTGAATGAAATCATTTTTATGCAAGATGGCGCTCCTCCGCACATTGCATATCCCGTGAAGCAGCTGCTGAGGCGCCATTCGGAAATGCTCGAATTATCAGCCGTCATTTTCCTACAGCCTGGCCGTCCCGATCGCCTGATCTTACTCCGTGTGATTTTCTGGCTGTGGGGATATCTGAAGGATGTTGTGTTCCATGCTCCAATTGCAAATTTAGCGGAATTAAAGGCACGCATTTCGCAAAAAATTCTGAACATCACCCCGGAGACACTGCGATCCGTCGTGGTGGAACATGCTGTTTGTCGCTTTCAACTTGTTGCACACAACGGTGGACACAATATTGAACATGTTTTGCGACAGTTCCGAACTTCTTTGATGAATGGTTCTTATGCGGTAGCCGCCGCAAAACTCTTGAAACCAACCGATTTGTCCCTTCCGATGTGATATGTACAGTCATGCAAATAAAAATTATTCAACAATTCTAATTTGTCAATGCGTTTTAATGTGTAACTGCCACCTTAGCCGTTGTTTTACGAAACATTTCTCGTTTCTCGTCGTGATTCTGCCGCTTACAGCGCCATCTGTTGCTAACTTTTGAAACTAAATTTTTTCTTCTGCCATACTCGTTCCGCCTTCTTCAATAACATTCCTTTCAAATTTCACATCATTTTCATCAGTGGTTCTTTTTTTATAGCGTTTTGAAACTTAAACTTTAATTATAATCACCCTGTATATACCAGTGATGGCGAGCCTATGGCACGTAGAGACGTATCAGTCGGCACGCGACTAAAGTATTACTTCCTTAATCAATAATCACAATAAAATGATACAATGTAAATTAAATAAGTGTTTTAGTCTGTTTTTGAACGTTTCACTTACTTACGTATCGCATAATGCCACTGGCATAGAGCCTAAGCTAGATATAAGATTTTCATATATCGCCATAGAAATGATATACATATTTATTGACCCAATTTATGACGTTTCAATTATTTGGGCCAATCATATTACTTGGTACATGGCAAAGAATACGCCAATGAAGCGGCTGATGTTTGGTAAACGAATTCCCCCCAAAAATTCGCCACCACTATTCTACGCCATCCGAAAAAGCGGTGAAGGTAACGTAACGTAAAATGTTTCAATGATAATGTCATGTTTCGCTTTAGAAGCATTTTGTACAAGCCAAATAACAATAAACAACGATGAGGAAACGTCTGAAGCGGAATTGACTGGCGTTAGAAATGATATAAGACGTTTCTGAAAGACAGTATCTTCTTTTTCTTATAACGTATAGAAATCTGAAGTTCTTATATTAGAAGTTGACTCTTCCACTGAAACGATAATAGTTCTTTCCTTTCACTTGCTCTTAACTTGCTGCTTACGCCATCTGCTGCCTTTGAACAGGTATGGTAAAATCAAATAGAGTTTCGGGTTGTTTTGTCCGTTTAATATCGTGTTTACCTTTTTCAGTCTTAGACTTGCTTCTGTAGGTTTTGCATTGTAATTTTGTGCACAAAGTAATGCTATGAAGTTTAGATAAGCATTCATTTGTGGTTAGGGAACAGATTTCCCATTAATTCTCTACAGAGATTAATTTTGGCTTCAGAGTTATTTCCGATGACCAATGAATAACCTTAAGGAGAGGATTACAGTATTTGACGGCATATAAGACGCACTTTTTTTCCTAAATTTGGTCTCAAAAAGGTTACCTGAAGGACACAGGTTAACTTTCAATACTGAATGCTTTTTTTAGCTCGGATAAAGGTCTAGACACACATAACTTTTTCTACATCTGCCATAATTATTTTGCGCATGCGTGAAATATCTGTCGCCTAAAAGCGCCATAGCTCGAAGGCCACGTTACGTCTATGGAACCTTTCCTTCTTTACATACACTTTCTTTGACTCAGCCGACACACGTGTCGGTATCGGTGCTACTCTGTACAAACGTGCCGGTATCGGTACTTAAAACTATTTGTTTAAAAAAAATACCCTGGAAAATATGACTACAGGAAACAAAAGATTAAGCTACACAATTCAGTATAAACTAGGAGTGTTAAACTACGCCAAAGTGCATGGAAACAGAGCAGCAGCAAGGCATTTCGGTCCACCACCTACTGAAAAAATGATACGTACTTGGCGACTGCAGGAAGATAAACTGAAGAGTGCTAAAAAACTTCCAAAGAGTGTAATTGTTCATGTCCATCTGAAAGGCTGGATGGATGATATTGGAATGAAACTGTAGTTACAGAACGTACGGGCGAAGCGACCTGGTGGACTCTTAAGAAAACCCTCTCTTTTGGTTTCGGATCAGTTTAGCGCCCATAGAACTGAATCTATAAAGAATAAAACGAGAGAATTAAAAACCCAGATACCTGTCATTCCTGGTGGACTGACTAGCCAATCGCAGCCTTTAGATGTATCGGCGAATAAGCCATTTAAGGAAAAAGTGCGAGAACGATGGAACAAGTGGATAGGAGAGCCACATCACGCCCTCACACCCTCAGGTAGAATGAAGCGGCCCTCTATTTTACAAGTGTGCGAGTGGGTAAAAAGATCTTAAGATCTTAGGAGGACGTAAAGGCTGAAGTGATTAAGTCCTTTAAGACGTGAGTGCGGAAGCAGTAATGCTCTTGACGGAACAGAAGACGACGCATTATTCGAAGAAGGTAATATTAGTGATGACGATATTCTCGTTTTCGATGATGATGATAGAGAAAAGGATTTTTATGGTTTTGAAAGTGATTAAAGTCTAATTTCATGATAGCAACATTTTCCTTGAACCTGTGTTTTTTGTTGTTTCGGGTTTATTTTATATTATGTTTGATTGCTGTATATTCATTGATTCATTATTGAAATTTACATATCATGTTCAAAATTGCTTGCCGTTTGTTAATTTTCCTTAATAAAAATATGTTTTGTAATTGCATTCAATGATTGTTTATTTGGCTTTTGTGAAACGTGATAACTAAAAGAAAGCACATTTTAAGTTATCGTGGACTATTGAAACTTTTTTCCTTGTGTGTGGCCTTCTAAAAAAGGGTGCGTCTTATATGCCAGTGCGTCTTATATGCCGTCAAATACGGTAAGTCCGTGAACCGATGTTTCACCATACTGGAAGAATAAATATCATCTCTGGAACTGTTCAGTTTGAATGCTGGAGCTTCAGATGAATTTTACCTAAAAAAATGAAAAACGCCGTGTTATTAATGCATAAGATTTTTGTGTTTTTCTTTAATCATATGAAAGGTAATATGTTGAAAAAAAAAATTAAAAAATGAAAATTACAACTTCAACTGCATTGCCTAAGAAAAATTGGGGTAGTGATTACAAACAATTTATGAAAATATATGTAAAATATAAAATATCTACCTTTCTAATAAAAAAAAAAACTAAAAAAAAAAAAAAAAAAAATCTGAAATGTTTCAGATTTTTAAATTACGTCCAAAGGGGCGTTTTTTAAACGTTTTGAGTGTTACCTTTATTTATTAAATATCATGTTCTTTGCACTTAAACCATAAAATTCAGTTTTCAAGAGCAATATCGCAAAATAATGTTAAATTAGCATATCTTTAGAATTTCCGATATACACAGTCCGCGAGCTGGAGATAAAAGTATTTTCTTTCTATATAACGTTGCCATTTCTCGCTTTTAAAGCATTGAGTTTGTAAATCAAAAATTCGTTAAAGTTTTACAAAATATAAAATCTATAATAAAACAAATTCCAAATTTGGGATTTCAGATGCCCATATTCGTAGGTAGGATTTACGTCATTCAAAAATCTCGATGGCTCTATGTGCCCATTGTTTTATCACAATGCTAGAAATAGTACGTATCATTTATGCAGATTTTTCATTATTTAATTTCTCCAAATATAATGCAGGACTTCTAACATTTTGGTGGCAACAGTTTTGAAAAAGTGAAACCGATACGTTTGTAGTGATTCGAACGCAAAATCGCAAAACGAAAACAATAGTCCTTCAGGGACAAAGCCCCTTTGGACTAATAATAACCCTTTATTTCTTCTATTAAATTTGAGCATGCTCCCCTCTTCATTCTAAAAATATCAAAGCAATATTTTTCTGATGTAATTTCTTCTTGTAATTCTGAAAAGTGATCCGTTACCTGATCTCTGTTGCGCAATTATTCCTGGAATTCTATGATATCTTAACCCAGTATCCGAATAGTAATCTGTTATGTATCTCAAATTTAATTCACTTAATGCAAAGATTCTTGAGATGTGATCCGAAATATAATCATTATCTTGGTTTAAAAAGTCTTTCCTGCGCAACAGTGCCATTGACCAAGGAACCTAATAATCATTTATCGCCTTCCTATCCGCTTTTTGCTTTAGTGTTGTACTGTGTATAAAAAAATCATTAAAATACAAATAAATAAATAAATAAAATATAAAAAACTAATGTAAAAAAAATCTGAAAGCTTTCAGATTTTATATTATGCTCAAAGGGGCGGTTTTAAACGTTTTACCTTTATTAAATACCATCTTCTTTTCACTTCAACCATAAAATTCAATTCAACAGCAATATCGCGAAAGAAATTCTAAATGAGCATATATTTAGAATTTCCGATACACAGTCTCACGCGCTGGAGATAAAAATGTTTCTTTTTTTCCTACACTCTTGCCATTCCTCCCTTTGAAATCGTTGAGTTAGTTAATCAAAATCAAAAATTCGTTAAAGTGTTACACAATATGAAATCGATAATAAAACAAATTCTAAATTCCAATTTTGGGCTTCCAGATGCCCATATTCGGAGGAGGATTACGTTATTCAAAACTGGATGGTTCTAGGTACCGTTGTTTTATTACAATGCGAGAAACATGAATACATTTATGCAGATTCTTCATTATTTAATTTCTTTAAATATAACACAGGTCGAAAATATTTGGTGGCAACAATTTGAAATGTGAAGCGGATATTTAAAGTTTTCAGTGCAAAATGCCAAAACGAAATTCATATCCCTCCTGGACAAATTGCCCCTTTGATCAAAAAATTGCTAAAAACCTGTAAAACAAACAACAAAAGTTTCTGAAGTTTTCAGATTTTTATATTACGCCCAAAGCGGCCTTTTTTCTTCAGTGTTTTCCGTGTTACTTTTATTTATTGAATATCATGTTCTTCGCACTTATACCATAAAATTAAATTCAGCAGCAATATCACAACATAATTTAAAGAGAGCATATCTTCTTTAGAATTTCCGATACACAGTCTCGCACCCTGGGAATATTTTTTTCCTCGCTCAGTGTTGCCTTTGCTCGCTTTGAAATCGACGAGTTTCTTAATCAAAAACTCATAAGGGCTTTATAAAATATGAAATAGACTACAAATTCCAAATCTGGGCTTCCAGATGCTCATATTCGAATGGAGGACTACGTTATTCAGAATTTGATGTCTCTAGGTACCGTTGATTTTTCACAGTGCGAGAAACACATACATTCATGAAGATTCCTCACTATTTATTTTTTTTTAATATAATGCAAGGCCCTAATATTTGGTGGTAACAATTTAAAAAGTGAATTAACATTTGTAGTGAACCGACGCAAAATGCCAAAACGAAATTAAAAGCCCTTCTGGGCAAATTATCCCTTTGGACTAAAAATTCAAAACATGATTTCAATCATTTTTCTTATATAGAATCTTTCTCGATCCATGTGGCTCCCCCTAGCATTTTCATTTTTAACTATTTTTATGTAGTTTTCCTATTTCTGCACACATAGTCTTTCTCTCTCTTAATCTTTACGTTCCTGGGTCTAGTAAATATTGCTTGTTATGAATAAAATGTACTAATAAAAAAGACACTTGCTCACTCTTTTCAGTACAGTTTTTACTGGAGAGTAGTTGGGAAGAGATTTATTGACAGAATAAATGAAATACGTGAAAGTTATGTTAAAAATTGTATGGAAAGATTTCCAATGAAATATTTAAATCAGAAAAGCTGAAGTAAATAGGAGTAATGTCATATGTATTGAATTTTTCTGCTAAAATCTTTTCCTTTCCAGATGACTGGAAGGAGTTCAGTAGCTGATTTATTGTAAATTGAAGAAAATGGTTGCAAGATCTAGCTCTTCATCACATAGATGCAAGACTACTTCTAAGATAAGTTCTATGTTGTGTAAGAAGTTGGCTTATGGTTAAACAAATTTAAGTTTCATCACATAGATGTAAGGCTACTTTCAAGATATGTTCTATGTTGTGTAAAAGTTGGCTCATAGTTAAAAAAATTTAAGCTTTATCACGTAGATGTAAGACTACTTTCAAGATATGTTCTGTGTTGTGTAAGAAGTTGGCTCATGGTTAAATAAATTTAAGCTCTTAACAAGCTTGTTAAAGACCTTCATTGTGAGTATTGAAAGTCTGGTAGGAAAAGTTATAAGAGTTTATATCTTTTTCTAACCAGATATTTTATGTTCAATACCTTTACTGTCATTCGCCTTTTTATTTTTTTGTGCTAAAATGAAAATTTGAGTTGGCGTGCATTCAAATGAGGTAGAAAGAGATTGTATTTAAAGGAAGGTTTTAGATAGTTGAATCAGAGCATGTTCTGCCTGTCGAAGGCCACGTTACCAGTTGAAACTCTTGATTGCAGTCTGTATTCAGCTTTGCGGAATTCTTGCCATTAGGCTTCGCACGCCGGCATAAGTTTGAGTTTATTTGTGAGGTATTTATTCTGTGTAGCCTTTCGCTAACTTAACTTAGCTTAGCCTTTCTCTAACCTAGTTTCTGTGTAGCGAAGAAGCTAGACTTTCGATTCTATGTAACTTTTCTCTAACTTAGCTTATAAAGTTCTAACTTAACTTCTAACTCTTCTTAGCCTAGATTCCGTGTAGCTAACTTAGTTCTCTGTAGCTAACGTATTCTGTGCTAAAATAGCTTCTAGCATTCTAACTTAACTTCTAACGCTTCTACGTTAACTAAGCCTAGATTCTGAGTAGCTTTTCTCTAACTTAGCTTCGACTTAACTTAGCTTTAATCTGATTTTATTACTATTGAATTACGCCATAAACGCTGGCTGGTTTTGTATGCACTAGAAGTGCCTTCTGTTAAATTACTGAGTTCTAATAAAAGGATATTTTACCCTCTTCTTATATTCTCTGTCTGATTGCTGGACTTAATAATAAGTCGCTTAGGGTCAGCTTAAGTCTCAAGCTTAGTTTATGCTTCCAAATAAGGTGAGACACTACAATCCTTTAAAATTAAAACATTTTAGAAATATTTTAGCTGTAAAGTTTTACGCTGGTGTACTGATAATTGTAGATAACATTTATGTATTAAGAATTAAAGCAAAATATTTACAAAAGTCGATGTGATTTGAAAAAAGGGGTCAATAATAAACTACTCTTAGCTGTGTTATATTTCGATGTGGAGGATTTAGATAGAAAGTTTATTTTCACTTCGTCATTTGTCTATTATAAAACTTTTGCAAATAAAGAGAATTGGCGCGAATCTCATATTTCTGAAAAGAAAGCAATTGGTGCTATGAACCTTGGTCATCAGTTATCCTTCGAGTGGTTATTCCAGTGTATTTTGTTCGGGTGCTGTTGTTGTTCATCCCCACAGACTAGCAGCGCTAAATCAGATCCATGACATTGCAAACCATGTGAACCCTAAAGAAATCCATAAACAACAATGGATTCTCAGTAAGGTGCTACATAGAGAGTCTCAGGCAAGCAAGAATAAGACTCATCATATTCTTGCTTGGGAAGCTTGCTCAGAAGAAAGCTTCATGCAGACTTCAAATTAATTAGAACCCTGAAAAAATATCAGAGATCTAAGATACACACCAAGGAAGTGGGTGAGGTTGGTTTGATCTTGCCTGTTGCAACCAAGTGCCAGAAAATCACCCGGCCGATTACTCTGGTACAAGACGACTTATTCATGGACGGAAAAAATAGCCAGCTTCCCTGGTCAATGGCTGGAGTACCAAAGATAAAAAGACTGACTCCGTTCCATTTTACGCCGATTTTAGTAAGAATAAGCCTGATCATGTTCTAGCTTGCCTGCAGCTCTTGCTTGGGAAGCTTGCTCAGAAAAATGGTTGATGCAGACTTCAAAATACTTTAAACCCCCAAAAAATTTCAGTGATCTAAGATACCCACTGAGGAAGCGTATGAGGGTGGTTTGATCTTGCCTGCAGCAATCAAGTGCCAGAGAGCCACCTGGCCGATTACTTTCATACCAGATGACTTATTCATGGACGGATAAAATATGCAGCTTCTTCGGTCAATGACTGGAACCCCCGCATTGTGCTAACTGCAGGTAATTGATTCTTTGTCCGTAATGGAGGACTTCCTTATCGATCCCTTTCTTAGCCCATCGGCTTTCTTCCCTTTTAACTTAGCGTATGCTCTTTCTGAAGCGTTTCATTTCTAATAACGAAGATGTGGAGGTTATTGCATTAACTGCATACATAACGCCTTGGTCCTTGGTCCCTTGGTCCAAGGTACGAGTAGAAGACTGACTCAGCTCCATTGCCTGCAGTTGGACAAAAAGGAATGGCCTTCACGCCTAAGGTGGTTCTATCAGGAGTAAATCCCGACTTTCGATTATTTTCTTTATGTAATTTGATTCATAACTCCTCTTGCCAAATACTTGCGTTTGCAAATTTTTTCATGATCTGTTTCTAAATAAATATGGCATTTTACAAATCGTTTTATTCTGATGTAGTCATAGATATTGCAATCATTTGCTAATGACCACTTGGATATAATAACATTTGATTTACTATTAATGTGAATATACTTATCCTACCTACTAGAAATTTATATCCTACCTGATCCTAAATTATGCCTCTCCTTACATACAACTTTCATTTGAAACGCACGCTTCTTTCATATTCTTCATCAACTGATTCCATCAGTGTCTTGAAATGAAAAGCAGTACCTGGTTTCTAAACAGAAGAAAAATAGCTGATTTTAAAACTTATTCGTGTACACAAATGGCTGAAGCAACTGAAGCACAATAGTTGAACATGGATCTAAAATCTACAATGAATTTTATATCAGATAGGTTTGTTTTTAAGCAGAGAATGTAAATTAGTGAACAAGATAAGGAATTTAAATATACGAAAAAGCATGCTTAGGTAAACAAAATTTTGGACGTAACATTGAAATTTACGCAGTTTTATATCTTAATAGAATTTACTTCCATTTTTTTTTTTTTTTTTTTTTTTTTTCATCCCAGCATTAAAGGAGAAAGAATGAAGAAATACAGTGTAGTTTATTTATTGTGGCATTGTACGTTAGCGCCATCTGGCGAAATGGAGATTCGCAGAAGATTTACGAAAGTGAACTGCTCTTATCCTCATTACGCAGGGGAAAAACTATGAAAATTCCATGCAGCCACCTCGTTCGCCTTGAATTGAACCCAGATCGAACTACTAGTGTTCAGCGACTTTGCCATTCGGCCATTGGTGGGTCCATGAAATATGAATTTGCTTTATTGTTGAATAAAACGTTTATTACGTTTAAAATAATTCCTTTGAACAGTATGAAAAAGCAGTTTTTTTTAACAAAAATTTCAAAAATCACCCTATTCTAAAATGGAAATTTCAGGTACTTTTATTACAAGATTTCTGCATAAGCTGCATGAAACTTAACACATATATTTTCCTTGCCTGCTAAAACCTATGTAAGCATGTCTTTACTTTTTTTACTTATTAGGTGTTTCCCCTTAGGCACTACACGGAAACGAAGGGATGCCCGGGTAAACTGGCTTGTATCCACGTTACACATGGGGAAAACCACGCAAACGCAGATGCAGCCAGCCCGTTCGCAAGGCCTGGAACCCCGGACCGAACTACCAGTATTCAGAGGTTTTTACCGCACCTCCGCTGGTCGGCTATGTCTCTACTTCGGGAAAGAAATTAATTGAAAGTCATCAAATGTAGTAACTGAGTTTAGTTGTAATGTTCTTCGATACTTTGTTCATTTACTAGGTTCCTCAAAGTTATAACTTACAACGAAGCCTCCACTCAGGCTCTTAAATCAGCATAAAACTAAACAGACTTATCTTGACAGAAATACCTAACTTAGTTGGCCCTTAAATTCAACTAACCGGCGATTCTCAACAGGCACATAATACAGCCGAGAGTACAAGAACGAAGTAATCAGAAGGCAAACACGTGCCACTAAGCACTCCTGAGCACTCTCTCTCTCGAAGCAAGTTGAATTTCCTTTAAATACTTCTTCTAACACATTTGCCCTTAACGCGAGTCTAAAATTTTATTCTGGTAGGGAGTTATAAGTGGGAAACAATAATTGAAAGGAAAGGATTTCAAAATTAAAAATAACTGTTACAAAATTAAAATACACACATAGTGTACATGCAAATATACATAAATATAATTACGTTTATAAAATATACATTATACATAAATATCGTTGCTCATAAATCTGCTTTTTAAAGTTTTTTATTTGTTTCTTTCCTTCAATATCTTGAGATGAATTTGCCGAATAGCTTTCAGATGTCTAAAAGCCCGAAGTATTCATACAACAACCTTCTCCCATTGAAGAAAGCGAATTAATTGTTTGTCTAAAAAATTTTATTTATTTGCAATCGACATTAAAACTTCAATTAATTTTACTTCCTCCTAAATGGTAACTGATGGTTTTATAATTCATTATGATTTTTCCAGATTACATTTACAAGAAAAAAAGATGCTGGCAAAATGCAGAAGGGTATTTAAAAGGCACTTACTTTTTTCCTCCAACGTAAATAAATCAAACCAGAGAATACTATTATAAGGAAAGCAAATAAACTTCCAATAAGTGCAGGAAAAGTGCTTTCTTTGCTCTCACCTGTAAAAACAAAAGTGGTAACGATTAGTTAATTGTATATATGTGAATTATGTACGTATATAACTAACTCACAATAAAAGCAAAACTTACTAGCGTTTAAAACAGCCCTAGAAATGAGCTTAATCCTAAAGGACTCAAGAATTAGAAATTAGTATAAGCGTGTTGTAAGTAAACCGTACAAGTTGCTAATTTTGAACGTCGACACATATTCCTTTGATTTTTCAAAAATATAGTACTGTACGTTTACTAATATTACTCCAAATCCTGTTGCTAACCCTTAAGCCCTTTCGGATTATATTCAGTACAGTCTTCTTTCCAATTGAGAGCCTGAGATTTTAATTAAAACTAAATTATTCAAATAAGCAAAACTAAAATTTAAAACTACATTATTCAAATAAGCTAAACTAAAAAATTAAAACTAAATTATTCAAATAAGCAAAACTAAAATATTAAAACTAAATTATTCAAATAAGCAAAACTAAAATATTAAAACTAAATTATTCAAATAAGCAAAACTAAAAAATTAAAACTAAATTATTCAAATAAGCAAAACTAAAAAATTTAAACTGAATTATTCAAATAAGTACACCAGATAAAAAAATTAAAATCTGAAAGGTTTCATATTTTAACGGGACGCCCAAAACTTTTTGTTTAAGTTTTCTACGCTTTCGCTGAGCTCGCAGTCTACCAGTCTGTTGTTACACTCCTAAGAGACTTGTGTTTTTTGTCTTTTTAACTTTATTGTTCATCATCATTTGCACTTACGCCATATACAACTCTATAGCAAAATTTTAAAAGAAGCACAGCAATGTACGTTTAGAATTTCCGATGCAGCGTTAAATGTTCGCATATATGTTTCTTTTTCCTTTTTTTACAGCATATCTTTAGATTTTAACATGGACAATGTCAGATGCTGCAGATAAAAATTTTCATTCCGTATACTGTTGCCATTACTCGTTTTGAAATCGTTGAATCTGTTAATCAAAAACTATTCAATCAAATCAAGAATCAGATTGTGGTTGTGTGATGATGTGTAAAAATGTCGTTTCAATTTAACACATTTTATTTCCAAACGAAAAAAAAAAAAAAAAATTGAGAAGCCTATTCTGAAATAAATTACATACCATAATGGGTGGAATTTTCCTCCATTATGAAGAATGAAATGATGTAAAAAGATAATTATTTTCTATATATGATGCAGAAAGATAACAATGTAAAAAGATAAATATTTTATACAAATGATGTAGGAAGATAACAAAGTAAAAATATAATTATTTTCTACAAATGATGTAGAAAGATAAAAATGTAAAAAGATAATTATTTTCTACAAATGATGTAGAAAGATAAAAATGTGATCTGCACCCATTCTTCAGCACATTTTTATCTTTCTGCAATGTTATGATTATATGCGACTGATGAAAGAGAGGTAAGTGGTGATGCTAGTTGCATAGGGAACAAAAGCAGGAGAATGTGGTGCGTTCACAAAAAAAGCCTGGGAGAGAAGTAAAAATATTGTTTCCCCAAAATGGATTCGGTTAGCTTGTTCTTGACTGGCTAAAGCGTTTATGCGAAGTTATTTGCGTCACATCATCACGTAAAAATCCTTTGATATGGATTAATTTGGAGAAGACGAAATTTAGATGTATATTTTTAGCAGTTACTATTTTAGAACATAAAGGGGAAATACCCAAATTAAAATGAAGAGTTAAGGGACTATAGAAAACTAAAATATGGCATTACTTATTTTTTATTTTATTTAGATAGTAGTAAAATGCAGTTGCTGGAAATAATCTTAAATAAATTTTAACGAATTAGTAATGCAAGAAAAATGCTGAAAACAAATTATAATGCATAATATTTTTTCAAACTGTTCAAATAATTTTCTAGAAGCAAATTATTTCAGATTACCTAATAGGATTCTTTCGCAGTTCCCATTGAGGTCTTTGAACCCTATGTTGCATGTACACATCTTTCGTCCGTAGCTGTTAAAGGAGCAATTTTCACCGCTTCCGCAACTGCACTCTGCGAATGGTATACGGATGGGTAAAAGTTGAATGATTATTAATTGTTACAGAAAGAGAAAGGTATAAAAAATGCCTACTTTTTATATTATTCAAACTTGCGCCTTAAATTTAATGCACAGTATATGATAATGATCTCTTTAAGTCGCAATAGAAAAATATTATTTTATTAGCGGAAACTTAGAAAAACAATATTCTACAGTTACGCTCTTTATAGCAATTTGCAATTAAGGGTTTTTATGGAACATTTTTGAAATAAATTAAGGGTTTTTATGGAACATTTTTGAAATAAATTAAAATCTATTTAAAAGTATTATTGAATACTTTTCATATTAGCGAATTATTTCGAATGCTCAATCGATTATTTGGATGTGATACATTTCATTTTTAACACCTGTGGAGACATTAGGTTACTTCAGGTCACGTGACTACTTAAACTGTGGGTCGCGATCCCCAAGGGGGTCACGTGACTTATTGCAGGATGTCGCCAAAAATTTTGCCAGTTTTGATATTTCTTTAACTTATTATAATAATTTTACAATTACCAAATATTTTTACACAGTGCATCTGAAACTAGATAAAGATAAGACAATGCAGTTAAAGAAAAAATGAAAACGCTTCGACGCATTCTTTTTATAATATACACGTTCATTTTCCTTGCTTTGCACGTGACGTTGTCATTCCGTCCGTTACTTATTTAGAATTTTCACATTATTCTATGTCTTAAAATTAGAAATTAAAGTTAATGACCTAAAAACTGCAATTGTATATTACAGTACAAGTGAAAAAATTGACAGTTTCACTTCCGCGTGTGTCGGAGTTGCGCAATACTTATGAGGTCCCACAAAATTTTTGTAAATATTATGGGGTCCTGGGGGTCGCAAAAAATCTCAGTGATAAAAAGGGGTCGCGAATGAAAAACGTTTAGGAAACCCTGGGTTATTTCGAGGCAGGAGACATAAAAAATGTGCAATGCCCTAGCCGGGAGTCGAACTTCCGACCTCTCGAATACGCGCCAAGTCTGCTGACTATTACACCACGAAGACATACTAAGAAGGCGGGAGAAATACCTTATATATAATCCTTTTAAAGGGCGACTGGGGATTAGGGAACCAAATCGCCTAATCCTGGTGGTGGAAAATCATCATTCACCATTGTATTTAGTTCGGGAGTCACTGTTTTTTTTTTTTTTTTTTTTTTTTTTTAGCAGGACAAATGAAAAATGAGCAACACCCTTGCCGAGACTCGAACCTGGAACTCTCGAAATACGCGACGAGTGTGCTAATCATTACACCAAGAACACATGCAAAAAGGAGGGAGAAAACACCACATATACCAAGAATCCTAAAGCTAGTACATCTGCACAAGAAATACATAATGCTTTCGTCAATATCCAAACTTCTTAAGATGATATCCTACACTGCATTTAATTAGGGATAGCCAAATGGAGGATCGTTCATTAATTTAAGTTCATTCAGTACAGCAATTAAGATTGCATCAGAATTCGCAACAAATTTAAATACTTTATTTCAGTTGAATCTATAAGATATTTTATTTAAATTCAGGTGACAACAAGGAGGAATTAATAATAATAACAGTCATTTCTTCCAAAAAAACAGTCAAACACTAAATTAATGATTCTCTACAGATTTTTCTACAGAGAATGTTGTTAAATCGAGGATATAATTAAGCAGATTAAACCTCTTCGTGAATTAAATTTTAAACCTGATATATATATTTAAAAAGCTGACATGACTTCCTTGTACGGAATATTAACTATACGCATTTTTTTTTTCATGCATTTCATTTAAACTTATTTCCTCGAATTTCATTAGAGATATACTTCTCATTCAATCAATTCAGTTCTCACTTCGTGGCAAGGAAAAAATTCATAAAAACTTAATATATTTTCATTTAAGGTTGAAAGATATAGAAATGCATAAAACACCAAAATACAGCTAAAACAATTAAAAAAATAATTTTTGCAATTAAACTAAAAGTTCCCTTTTGGTCCCACTCGGCAAGAGAACACTGAATATGTAGGAAGACTTAATTCATTTTTCTGCTAAGTTTCAAATGTAAACAAATATGGCTGCTATGATAAACAAAAATTAGGCTTAGCCGCAGTTAAACAACTTTTAAATTGTTGATAATTTACAGCTAGTGTGTGCAGATTAACTAAAGTTATGAAAACTTTAACCGGAAGATACGAACAACACAATTAAATAATTTTTAAAGCAAAAAATGCAACATTTATCAACATATGAGAATAAAGAATAAAAAAACTGACCTCGCTGAGCCGAGTAGCAGAGTGGGTATATTTATATAAATATTTGTATACTTTTGGTGCGGCCGATTGAAACCAAAAAAAAAAAAAAAAAAGAGCTTCACAGCTACCTGGTATAGCAGTCCTATACAAAATTTAAACGTTCTGAGGCTACTCGTATTTGATTTATGTGAGATACATACATACGTACGTACGTACAGACGCGACGAAAAAAAATCTCTTCTGAATGCATTTTAAATCAGTTTTATAATTCGTTTAGAGTAAAAAAAAGGTCCTTTTCCTGTCCTTATGTAGAGATGTCAAGAAAAAACATCGATGAATTGTATTCGATAGCGGTCAAAATGGAAATTTTCGTTGAAATATGGTATCCCGAACGTTTCGTGATTACAATACTTCCATCACTTCGTATAAGGAAGTAAAACTGGTAAACATTTTGCTGTAGTATCCATTTGTTTAATCCTTTTAGGACAAAAGTATAACTGTTTTAGTAAATATTTAATACAGGATAATTTTCCATGGTTTTATATATTTTGGACTAAGCAACAGGAAAAAACATTGGAGAATATCGATAAATTAGTTTAGATAATTATACAGACTTTAACCTGTTAGCTTTATTGGTTATAGTAAACTAGAAAATGTCTAGACTTATCTCTTCTAGACCCCCCGGAAATGTGAATATGTTCCATGTACAGCTTTCCTACACATGTTCCAGGCATGTGTAGAAAAGTTGTACATCCCCAGCTTCGAAAAAATATAGGTAATCAAACGATAAGCAGTCTATATTCCAGGGAATGCACGAAGTGGTACACTATTACAATTTATACATACATATATCGTAGCCGAAACTTCTGTAATACAATAAATTGTTTAATTCAGCTGTTTTCATTTCAGTGGAGTAATTAAGTACAGTACAAAGTCCGAAGTCCGGACGTCCATTATCCGGAATGATCTAAAATCCGGACCTCAAAACTACCAACAAAATTTTTCTCGTAGGCTTTACGCATGGGGCATTTGATTTCCCCTTCCGCGCATAATAAAACACCTGGAGAGTCCCGCTTTTCACGCATCTCAAACCGAAACATTCCACAGACATACATCGTTGATCTGACGCCAACCTAGCGAATCATTATTTATTATACTTTCCTTTCATCATCGCATGTTTATCAAAACATGACAACTTGAGTAATGACTCATGTAGCGATGTCTAAACAAATTTTTTATGTTAGTAATTGAATAATAACATAACCTTTTACTAATTAAGACACAATAACACGCCGCACAAATACTAATTCAGAAGCCAAACAACAAAAATCAGCGTTATATCTTCAAATTTCGTCAAGTAAGCAGGTAATACACAGGCTGGTGGTGGTGGTATTATTTTTTGTGGGCTTATCGTGAACGGCTGTGGGACCCTGGTTTATGGTAGAACAGACCATGAAAGCTGCGTATTATTTCAGCCTGATTGCTGATCAGTCGCACCTTCACATGGCGTCTGTCTTCTGAACTGGAAATGGGATCTTCCAGCAGGACAACGCCCTATGTCAAAAGGCTCGAATTGTATTGGAGCGATTCGAGGAACATAAGGATAAATTCCAGTTAACGTCCTGGCCACCTAACTCGTCTTAACTTAAACCGATAGAGTACATTTCTGATGTCATGGAGCAGCAGCTCAAAGCTTAAACACCACCATGAGTATCTCGACTTTCCATGACCGCTGCTTAGAGATTTGATACAACCTGTCACTACTCATCCACAAAGAACTTGTGGCATCCATGCCAAGGCGAGTTGCAGCTGTCTCGCTGGCCAAAGATCGCGCAACGCGTTATAGAAGTAGGTGATAACAATGCTTTGGCTCTTCAGTGTATATACATAATATAAGACAGTTTCATAATATTAGATTTCCGGACTCTCCTTATATATAAAATAATTGAAGATTTTTCATTTGTATAACATTGCTACCTTCGAATTTCCCATTAAGTTCTTCAAATGCCTTACTACAGATGCACTTCTTTGTTCCCGTTTGTGTACCTCCCGTTTTCGCTGCAATCGCTCGCACGCACACACACACACACATAAGTATATATATTCCCACTCAGTTAGCCAGCTCTGTGACCTCAAATTTTTTATTCTTAGATGTTAGTAAATTATGCATTTTTTGCTTTAAAAGTGACTGAGTTAGGTTGTTCTTATGTTCTAGTTCAGGTTTTTATGCCTTTAGTTAATGTGCATGCAATAGTTGTTGTATTTAACAGTTTAAAAGTTTTCTAGGTGGTACTTAACGAGGCCGCCATTTGTTTACATTTGAAACTCTTAGCAGAATAGTGAATTCAGTTCGTGCAGCAACTTAAGTGTCATTTTGTCCAGTGAGGCCAAAAGTTACCTTCAATTTTCTGCACTGAAAAATATGTCTTTCTGCCCGCTGGCCAAATTTCCCCCCCCTTTTTTTTTTTTTTGTAGAAGCTAAATTTTGTAGAACAACAAAAAAAAAAAAAAAAAAAAAATAAAAAAAATAAAAATAAAAAAAAATAAAATAAAAATAAAAATAAACTTGTTTTTGGTAGAAATTGTTTTATAAATCTGTTAACTGCATTTTGTGTTTTAGGTTTTCTATTGTAGAGACATCAGGATTTTTTGGAAGCAGGAAAGATGAAAAATTAGCAACCGCCTTCGCCGGGAATCGAACCACGCGCCTCTGGAATACCGGCCCAGCGTTCAAAAAGACACCAACGAAGGCACGCTAGGAAGGCGGGAGAAATACCTTATACTATATTTTACAATTTTCAATGAAGATGCTTTGAGTTTTGATGCATTTTTGACTTGTCGCGATGTGAGAACTGAATTAATTGAAGGAGAAATATACCTCTAATGAAATTTGGAGTTACGTTTAAATTAAATGCAGCAAAAAATTTGTGTGATTCAACAGGCCTTACAAAAAAGTTATGTGCTTCTACATAAGATATTTTTTTTAAGTGTTACAATGTTTTCTTTCATCCTGTTATACTTACCCTCGCACCATCCGCTAAATTCTGCAAATCCCTCGTTGCAGAAACACTTCTTTTTTCCGAGAACGTCTAAACCGCATGTTCCATTGTATCCACAGTCACATTCTGTACAGAAAAGAAACAGATAATTAGTAATACTTTTAATATGGTATAAAATATTGTCGAGAATAAAGATATAAATAAAAACAATGTCTCATGAACATAATTCACAACTTGTCCATGTTAAATTAAATATATGACAGTGAAAAATTGTAAAAAAAGCATTTACAAATTACTTTTCTCGGCCTTTAAATACAGTTATGTGTTGCAATTTGAGAAAGTTTTTAAACAGATTTAAGCTCATTTAATTATCACTTAAATGAGTTCACAACCGTTAATAAATCTCAATATGATTTGTAATAATTTATTTATAAATAAGTAAATCTTTCAGTAATTGATTTTTATATAGGCAATACTCTTAAATTAGATGGAATATTTATATTATTTGTAACGCATAATTTTTTATTTTTTGCCAACCACCTGTTAAACATTATTCAATGTAAATTCCTACAGTCAAGATTTTTCATTACAGAGTAGCAAAAGGTATAAACTACCTTTCGAAATGAATTCACGAAACACTTTTGAAATCGATTCAAAATTCCATTCTCAATAATCTGGTCAACGATAATAATACATTTTTTAATTATTTGAAACTTAAATGTGACTTCCTTTTAAGTCCGACGTAATACATCTTGAAGAATAATTGTTAACTTCAACTGCCTTCTTTGAATTATATTTATTGTGAAACAAAATTAAAGCATTACTTTTATATATGTCAAATATTTAAGGTGGTGCTTCAGATCTAATTTTAATTGAATTCATTCTTTTATCCAAAGTCCGAACTTCACTTCCATTGATACTCAAAGCAAAACCGATTAAATTTGGCTTGACAAACAAGGTTTCAAGCCCAGTTTAGACGAATATTGTTTTCATTAATTCAAAGGAGATCTTAGAGAGAGAAAACATGAAAAGAGATAGGTGAGAGACATTTTTCGGCAATTAATGCAGCCATATTTTGCAATGTGTGTGTATCAATCATATTTTCAGACTTTTTTACATAAAGATTATATGCACCGGTATTGATTATTAATACCGTTAACAGGTTACCGACTTAATAGCACAGCACCTATTAGGTTATAAGTACTAGTTCCTAGGTTACAGGTACGGTGTTAATAAGCACAATACCTATTTGATTATAAGCGCTAGTTACTAGGTTAACAGGTACAGTGTTAAAAGACACAGTACCCATTTGATTATACATACTAGGTACGGCATTAATAGGCACAGTATCTATTGGGTTATAATTACTAGATCCTAGGTTATAGAGACCGTGTTAATAGGCACAATGCCTATTAGGTTATTAGTACTAGGTTATAGGTACAGTGTTAATAAGCACACTACCTACTACGTTATAAGTACTGGTTTAGGTTATAGGTACTGTGTTAATAGACGCAGTATGTGCTAGTTTATAAACAATAGTCCCTAGGTTATAGGTAAGGTATTAATAGTCACAGTACCTGTTAGGTGACAAGTATTAGTTTAGGTTAAAGGCACGGTGTTAATAGGCACAGTACGTGGCCTAGTTACTAAATTATAAGTACGATTATAATAGGTGCACTACCAGTTTAGTTGATAAATACAAGTTACTACGTTATAGATACGGTGGTAATAGGCACAGTACCTATTAAGTTTTAAATACTAGGTACGGTGTTAATAGGCGCAGTATCTATTAGGTTGTAAGGACTAGTACTAGATTATAGGTACGGTGTTATAGGTTATATAGGTACGGTGTCGCGAGCCTGATATGGCTCTCGCAGGCAATTTGTGCGGCTCTTGCATATAAAATATATGTATGAAATAGGGTAAACTAAAACTATTCAGTGTCCAAAAAGAAGTAATTAATTTAGACTCTTTTTACAAAGTTATCAGGGATTTCTTTCTATTTAAAACCTCCTCCACTACTTCTATAAATGATGTAAATATGAACTTGTGGCTTTGAGAAAATCTAGATGCGGCTCTTGAACATTCCTGAATTCAAACGTGCGGCTTTTACTGACAGGAAATTTTCCAAACCCTGTCATAAGCAATAGTTCCTAGGTTATAGATCTGGTGTTAATAGTCATAGTCACAGTACCTATTAGGTTATAAGTACTAGTTACTAGGTACGGTGTTAATGGGCACAGTAACTATGGTGATAAGTAGTAGGTTAGGTTATATGTACGGTGTTAATAGGTCCAGTACTTGTCCTAGTTACTAGGATATAAGTAAGACGCTAATAGCCGCAGTATCTATTAGGTTATAAGTGCTAGTTACTAGGTTATAGAAACGGTGTTAATAGGTACAGTACCTATTATTACCAGTGATAAGCACAAGTTATAGGTACAGTGTTAATAGAAACAGTATCTGGTAGGTACTGTGCCTATTAAGTGTTAAAAGGCACAGTACGCTTTGTAAAACTATCAAGAGTTTAAAAGTTGTGTTTAAGTCTTGCTAAGCCTAACGAGGACACCATTTGCTAACATTTGAAACTCTTAGTAGAGGAATGAATTAAGTCAATTTCTGCACCAACTTCAGGAGACCATATGTCGAGTGAGACAAAATTAAAGTTTAAATTTTGTGCACCGAAAAATATGTCTTCTTGCTTCCTGGTCGAATTGCTTGTTTTTGCGCAGAAACTCTAGTTTTAATTGTAGAAATTATATTTCTAAGTGTTTTTAACTGCATTTGGTGTTTCATGTCTTTCTGTATTTACAATTTATAATGAAGATACTTTGAGTTTTTATGTATTTTTCCCTTCCGCGAAATGAGAAGTGAATGAATCGATTCAGAAATTTATCTCTAATGAAATTCGAGGAAATAAGTTCATGATGTTCCAACCTAGAATTTACGGCAATGTGTGTGGAACCTTGAGAACTGGTAAGCGAATAATCGCCCCGTTCAGAAAGATAGAAACGTAAACTCACGAAGGGTTAATTACTCTTTATTGCTCAAAGTAAAGTTCACAGACGGTCCTCTCTCAGGACATACAGAAAAGCCTCTACTTGTGCTTGAACTCAAGAATACTAAGAAATAAAACTTAACTAAAATAAAAAGATAAAGCCGAAGCTATAAAAATGCTACAGGCGTTGGCCCCTTAACGCTAACTAAACGGCGAAGCTATCAAGGGCCTGAAATACAGTCGAGCGTAATACTAGCTAGAGAGAGTGTAGCCAAAAAGCGATCCCGCGCTGATCAGAATCTCTGGCTCTCTAACGAAATTAGTAGAACTTCGACTTTAAACACTTTCTCTTCCTGCATCTGCATTTAACCGCGATTCTGAAAACAAATTCTGGCAGGAAATTTTTAAGCTGAAATTGAAAGTGACAGGAAAATGGCTTTAATTAAAAATTAACTGCTAAAAAAGGATAAACCTTGCAAGTTTAAAGGAAATGCAGCAAAAAATTTATAAAATTTAATAGGCCGTGCAAGGAAGTCATGTGGTGTCCAGATCAACTATTTTTGAATAGGGAAAAGCACGCAATTGTTATGTCCGTACGGAACGTAATGACTTCGTGGAGAACGTTTTAAGGAAAACTGGCTCGTTTCCATGTCATAAGGGAAACCAAGAAAACTCATACCCGACAAGCCCATTTGCAGGGTTTCGAACTCAATGAAACCAATGTCTTAGGCATCTTAACGCTTCGGAAACTGGTGCGCAGTCTAAAGCATAGTCCGAATACCTGGAAGTCCGATTGTCAGATATTTTTGTTTTCATTTTCAAGTCTCGTATACACTTAATTAATTTTTTTATATTGTTACAAAATGTCCAGGCGCGGTAAGATAGCTTCCCCGCAAAGCAGTTTTAGGGTTGCCATAAACTGGCAAGGGGAAGCAGTGTTGCCACATTTGGCGAGAAATCACCCATTTGGCGACAAAACTGGCGATATACCTTGGACGGATGGAGAACCTTCTGGAACGAATTCTTAAAGGGTTAGCCCAGAATGTTCTCGAACACAAGCCGAAAGCTATATAAACCCTGCTGGTTCGCAGTCAGTCAGTTAGTGTCTCAGAGTGTGCCTCGTCGAGAGGGAGAGTGAGAGTGCCTCGTCTAGAGTGCGAGATAGTCAGTATCGGTTGGTGTCTCGTCTAACGAGTCGATCCCTGCGGAGTCGATCGAGTTGACAGCCGGGAAGCGAGTGTCGAGTGGGTCGTCGAGTGCACCGAAGGAGTCTGTTCGTGTATCGCGGTTAGTGCATCGTCGAGAGAGCGTGTTGAGCTCCGGGAACGAGTGAACCGAAGAGTCGGGAGCTGTGCTCTGAGTGTCGTCGAGTGCATGGCGGGTTGTAGCATGGAGAGTCTCGAGAGTACGTGGAGTTCCGAAAACGACCCAGCAGAGTCGCGAGCTGTACTCTAGTGCTTTGCCGTGAAAGCTGTCTTCCAACGTTGCTAGCCCTGATTAACCTGAAAGGCTGTGTGGCTGATCGTGTACAGCATGTTTATAGTAGTTCTATCGAACGACTGTAAACGTGTTTTGGAGCTGTCCTGATTAGTACTGGCTAAATAAAGTGTGTTTCAATACTTCATCAAGTGTCGTCGTTATTCACTCCAAATCCACACGAACCCCGCAAGAACGTGAAGGAAGATAATAACGTAACAAGTGGTGTCAGAAGAAAAGAAAAACGCATCAATATATTTCTAAAATTTTGTTCCTTGTATGTTAGTTATTTACTGAAATAAAACTTTAAATATAGAGAAAAATACGGAATTTTTCGAAACATAATATTCCGATCTTAATAACTCATCTTTATCGATTTCTGAATTATGTAATTAATGTTTATATTCGACATCTTGCTGAAAGAGCTAAGTACAAAGAAATACTTACCGCATGTTTGTGTGTGGTAGTTGAAGTTTGCGTTGGGGTTTAAGCATTCACATGCAGCTCTCTGCATGATTGGGTCATAAACGCATCGTACATCAGAGTCATAACCACATATAAACTTCCCCCTGCAAACAGAAATTTCGGTGCAAAAGTCACCGGTAGTTCCTGGCAAGCACTCGCAGAATTTTAAATCGTGAGTTCCGTTGCAAATGCCACCATTTTCACACATTTCTGCTTCACAAGGTGCTAAAAATAAACAGAAATCAAACAAAATCTTAATATTATAGAAAATGCGTTGTTATTGCTGCGTGCGAGTTCGTAACAGATTGAGAGCACAAGTCCGATAATAGGTTAATAAAAAATTATTTTTATCAAAAGAAATATATCAGAACTTTGGAATTTTCCACAGAAATATTCATGCAAGTGTTCACAGTATCACAGTACAAGTGTACACAGTATAATCAGTATTTACACTGCAAACTACTAAAAACGTTAAACACAACTTAATAGGTTAATTAAAAATTATTTTTATCAAAAGAAATATATCAGAACTCTGGAATTTTCCACAGAAATATTCATGCAAGTGTTCACAGTATCACAGTGCAAGTGTACACAGTATAATCAGTAGTTACACTGCAAACTACTAAAAACGTTAAACACAACGCAATGCAAAGAGTACCTAAAGAGAATGCTAATCATAAGTCACCCTGAACTCGCAACATAACAACAGCTGCTAATTAAACAACTGGGAGCAGAAGCTCTCTCTTCGGCCCTGAATAGTTTTCAATCGACCGCGAGATATTTCTAGTACTTTCTGTTTCTCGAAATTACTGGAAAGCAATAAGAGGATCGAATTACGGTTACAACTAACAATTACATTTATTCAATTTCAATACAAATTGCTGATATACCCATTTACTCAATATTAAATGCAAGTGTCCCTGTATTCTTAATTTTCCGGCATAGCTTTCTCTTGAAGATCTGTCTCGCGCTACATTACACAGAAAAAAATACAAACATTTATTACTCCAAAGGGGCAGTTTGCCCTCAAGGACTATTATTTTCGTTTTTGCATTTTGCTTTGGTTCACTATAAATGTCCAATTCACTTTTTAAATTGTTGCCACCAAATACACTCATGTCCATAAATTAACGATAATTCGGAGTCACGCGGAAATCAAACTCTAAAATCAATATATCACCTGTAAAATCACTACACACATCTTCAAGAATCATATGCAAATTTCAGGAAGTAAACAGATGACACCGATGGTACATCACAATGACGAGTGTGTAAGAGTGATATATAAGAAATACAGGCAAAGAAGTAAAATTGTTTGCAGGCGCTTTATAAGCATTTCAGTGGAATAACCGAATAGTTATGACACAAAGGACGCATTTCGGTAATTTTTTACGTGGTAGAATTATCGGCCGTCTGGAATGTGGGCGTACACAACTGGAAGTATCAGACGAACTTGGAATTGCCCAGAGTGTCATCTCAAGGCTTTGGCAACGATTCCAAAATGATGGTAATGTGAGTAGACATTACAGCACAGGTCACCCCAGATTTACAACGCCGAATGAGGACCGGTATTTGGCAGTTACTGCCAAAAGAAACTGGCGGAGCACAGCCTCAGACCTGTCTCGTCAGCTCTCTTCAGCCACTGGTACTACAATTTCAAGGCAGACCGTGTACAGACGCTTAGGGCAGATTGGTCTATATGCTCTAGACCTGTCAGATGCGTTCCACTTACTGCAACTCACTGTCGCCTGCTGTTAGCCTGGAGTAGAGAGCATGCATTGTGGACACCGCAACAGTGGGCTTGTATGATGATGTTTTCCGACGAGTCCAGGTTTAGCTTGCAGTCTGATTCTCGCCGGACTTTCATATGGAGAGCTCCAGGTACCCATTACCACCAAGAAAACATCATTGAACGACACCGTTATGGTGGTGCAGGAGTGCTCGTTTGGGTTGGAATTATTCTGGGTTCCAGAACTGACCTGCATGTTCAAATTGCAACCATGACAAGCCAAATCTATCGAGACGTCATTCTGGAACAACATGCACGTTTGTTTCTGGGCGTCATGGGCGCACAATTTGTGTTTATGGATAACAACGCCCGTCCTCACCGTGCAAATATCGTAAGAGAATGCCTTCAATCGGGGGATATCACCCGTATGGACTGGCCAGCATTCTCACCGGACTTGAATCCAGTAGAGCACGTGTGGGATATGCTTGGTCGACGAGTTGCAGCCCGTCAACCTTCCCCTACATGTCTACCGGAACTTCGGAGAGCATTGCTTTTTGAGTGGTGTAATATCTCCCAAGATCAGATCGATAATTTGATACTCAGCATGCCTAGGCGTTGTACGGATTGTATTGCATCGTCTGGGAGACATACAATGTATTAACAATCATACCAACCATGTAATATTGGTTTTTTGTAAATGGGTGTTTTTTGTAATTTGCTCCAGGGAGAAAAAATCGCTAATTTTTTTAATAATATCAAACATATAGCATCTTTTTTTGCTCTTTACCTTTTGTTTAATAAATAAGCTTTACAAATAAGTCAAATTTGTTTTGCTTCTAACTCTTCCTTTACCTGATTTTGCATTATCCTTAATTTATGGACACGAGTGTATTATCGCCCTGTATTATATTTAAAGAAATTAAATAATGAAAAATCTGCATAAATGTATGTTTCTCGCATTGCGATAAAACAATGGTATCTAGTGCCATCCAATTTTGGATAACGTACGTTTGCACCCTAATATGGGCATCTGGGAGTCCACATTTTGGATTTGTTTTTGAGCTGTTTCATACTTTGTAAAAATTTAAAAATTATCATTAACAAACTCAGCAATTTAAAAGCGAGCAATGGCAACACTCTACGGGCACAAAAAAAACCTTTTTATCTCCAGTGCGAGGAACAATGTATTGGAAACTCTAAAGATAGGCTCATTTTAAAATTATTTTGCGATATTGCTGTTGAACGGAATTTTATGATTTAAGTGCGAAGAACATGATATTTAATAAATAAAGTTAATACAAAAAATGTTTAAAAAACGTCCCTTTGAACGTACTTTAAAATCTGAAACCTTTAAGATTTTTTTAAGTTTTAATTTTTTGTGTCATTATTCTACTAAAATTACCTATCTAAATACAAAATTCATAACATAATTATTATTAGCCCAGAAGGGTTATTAGAGATATCTGTAAACAAATGTTCGTTTCCACGGGCGCCTGGGCAGGAAGCCCTATCCCGATCTAAGTAATAGTTTGTTTTCGAACGCCCAGCTAATGAAGTGTGAGATAAGCAATTTCAAGAAAATTTCTTAGTGTATAAAGTATTTTCTCCTGCCTTCTTAGAGTGCCTTCGTGGTGTAGTGGTCAGCACGCTGGGCGCGTATTCCAGATATCCGTGTTTCGATTCCCGGCGAAAGCGTTGCTCATTTTTCACTTCTCCTGCTTCCAAAAAATACCTAATGTCTCTACAGTGGCGCCCGCATTTCGTTTTGGCATCTGGAAGGGTGGTGGATGATGTTTCTCCACACCCAGGATTCGGCGATAGGGTCCCCTAATCCACAGTCGCCCTTTAAAATGGGGAGTATATAAGGTATTTTCTCCCGCCTTCGTAGCTTAGTGGTCGGCACGCTGGGCATGTATTCCAAAGATCCGTGGTTCGATTCCCGCGGAGGGCGTTGCTCCTTTTTAATCTCTCCTGCTTCCAATTAACCTAATGTCTCTAAAGGTGGAGTAAAGTTGAAAAATGTGAATGTTGCAGGAGGCAATTATTAGCATTAGGATGGTCTGCAGGAAAAACATGGAGGTTGATGTAACGTGATGCTTCAGCAAGGGTAGTCAAAGCTCTCTAAGGAGAGGCTGACGGGGAAAATGGAGTCAGTAGGCAGGAAACTTTCCTGTCAGTCGAGCAGGAGGCTTTTGGTCTAAGTGGAATCTGGTTCGCTGGACTAAGTGTAAGTTTTCTCACGTGCAAGCAGGGTGGAGGAGACCCTTTTCATTATCACACGATTTAGAAGGGATGCCAAAAAGTGGAGAAGGGGTAATGGGTACAAGTAAAAAAAATTTAGCCGCCCAACTGGGTATAGTGGTTAGCATCCCTGCCTGCCAACCGAAAGAGCCCGCGTTCGAATCCGGAGAACGCATGAATGTTTGTAAATGTATGTATAGCGTCAGAGCGGCTTGGCGGCACCCTAAATATACGGTGAGCCGAAAGTCCTCTCGTGTTGTTTGGTGGAAGGGGAGAGGGGTGGAGACAATCGGACCCATCCCCCCCCGGGGTGCTCTCCATCAAAATTGGGGGAGGAACTGATCCAAATCGCATTGTCACCTGTCAGGTGCTCAAGGCTGTCTCCAAGGACAGGCTTAATCTTGCTCGCCTTGCTGCGACGAATTTCGTGGGCTTGGCCTGAACTGCGTCAGACAAGTTAGCATAAGGAACAACAAATAAAATTTAAGAACAAATAACTAATTTTAAGTTAATACTTTCAAGAGCAAGATAATAAATTTTGAGAGCATTAAGTACTATTTACCATTATGGTTTTGCATTAAACTTCTCAATAAGGAAAAGGGGGTACATTTTATCTATTAGGGTGACTGAGCGTCAAGGAGTTTCTTAATATTTTTGTTAAATAGAAAAGTTACCTTTGAAAGTCCAAACAAATTTTCTAATTCTTTCATGGCTTAATGCTACTAGAATAGGCGGCATTTTGCGTTGAATAACACAAATGCTGTGTATTACTCTTCAAATTGCTGCCACCAAATATTATCGTCCTGTATTATATTTAAAGAAACTAAACAATGAAGAATTTGCATAAGTATATATATGTTTCTCGCATTGTGTAAAAACAACGCATCAAATTCTGAATACCGTAGTCCTCTACCCGAACATGGGCATCTGGAAGCCTGAATTACTAATTTGTTTTATTTTCTATTTCATATTTTATTTTGTAAAATTTTAACGACTTGTTTATTAAAAAAACTTATGTCTGAAAGCGAGTAGTGACAACACTGTAAGGAATGAAACATTTTTATCTCCAGCGCCGCAAGACTGTCTATGTGAAATCCTAAACTATGCTGTTTTTAAATATTTTTAGCCCAAAGTGGCGTTAGCCCAAATAATCTCGAAACGTGTATGTGTCTGCAAATGAAAAAAAAAAAAAAAAAAAAAAAAAAAAAAAAAAAAAAACGTCAGTTTGGGAGTATATAAAATCTCAAAAACTTTCAAATTTTTTTTTTTTTAATTTCTTTTCTTTAGCATTGGCCGAGTGATTTTCTCGCGGTATCCTAAGCTATGAGAAACGAATCGCTTGTTTCTTCAATCACGATAAAAAATTGAAAAAATGAATAACAGAATTAAGAATGTCATGCAAGTTTTATATTTATTACCGAAACATAAAGATTTTTTCTACAGCAAAAAAGAAACGTCTAAAGTATAACAGAATTCTGTAAACTTTGTGAACCCATTTAGGCTGTAAACTTCTTGATAACAAATTGTCTACTGAATGTTTTGATAACAAAAAAAAAACAAAAAAAATATATATATATATATATATATATCTTTTTTCTGGCTAGTATTACATTTGTTGAGATCAAATTCAGAGATCTTATTAGCCCAAATGGCTATGAATTTTCGAAAACTGTAAATGCCCGTTTCACTTTTCAGATTGTTGCCACCAAATGTTATCGTCCTGTATTATATATAAAGAAATTAAATAATGAAGAATCTGCGTAGATGTACGTATGTTTCTCGCCTTATCATAAAGCTATGGTAACTAGAGCCAGTTTTGAACAACGTAATCCTCCACCGAATATGGGCATCTGGAAGCTCTAATTTGGAACTTGTTTTGTAACACCTTAACGAATTTTTGATTAAGAAGCTCAACAATTTCAAAGCGAGCAATGGCAACACTGTACGGAAAAAAGAAAAAAAGCTTTTATCTTCAGAGCGCGAGACTGTGTATGGAAAATTCTAAAGACCTCGTTTTAAAATTATTTTGCGTTATATTGCTCTTGAACTGAATTTTATGGTTTAAGTGCGAGAAGAACATGATATTTAAACACAAAACGTTAAAAAGGTTGTAGTGTCATTAGGATTTTTTGAAGCCAGAGAGATGAAAAATTAGCAACCGCCTTCGCCGGGAATCGAACCACGGACCTCTGGAATACCCGCCCAGCGTGCTGAACCACTACACCACGAAGACACGCGAGGGAAGTGGGAGAAATACCTTATATACTTCCCTTTTTAAAGGGCGACTAGGGTTTTAGGGGACCTATTCGCCAAATCCTGGGTGCGGAGAATCATCATCCACAAACTTTTTTAGCCACTTGTAGAGTCATTAGGATGTTTTGAAGCCAGCGAGATGAAAAATTAGCAACCGCCTTCGCCAGGAATCGAACCACGGACCTTTGGAATACCGGCCCAGCGTGCTGAACCACTACACCACGAAGGCACGCTAAGGAAGTACGAGAAATACCTTATAAGGTAACACACAAAACGTTAAAAAAACGCCCCTTTGGCCGTAATATAAAATCTGAAAGCTATGAGAGTTTTTTTAATTTTTTTAGTTAATAAAATAAATATTCAGACTTTAACGCCATTTGAAGTACTTTGTATTATTGTAAATAACATTGCATATACTATAAATGCATGAGGCACATTGTGTGTAACATCGCATTTTAACTTTCGTTTTGTGTGTTACAGATTGGCAACTACTGACTGATGTCTTAGTACTAATATGATTTGAAAATACCCAAGGATCAAACCCCAAAATTTTTTAATATGATAATTTGCAAATTATGATAAGGATTTTTTGGCTTATGGCAACACAGGTGACAGGTATCTGCGTTACATTCGTTACGGGTATTGAAAGAAAACTGGCTCATGTTGACCTTCCACAGTTTCGGTGTGGTTAATTACAGCAGAGCCTCGAGGGTTATCTGCGTAAGGGGAAAGATGCCTTCGTGGCGGACATTCTAGGAGACACTGGCTCTTAGACGCGTTACATAAAACAACCAAGCAGCAGTCTGTTCGCGGGATTCGAACCTCAGACCGAACTACCAATGTTCAGCGACTTTACCGCTCAGGGCCACCTTCTACAGGGAGAAACCACGAAAATTTTCCAATCCGTTGGCCAGATTTTAAACTGTGGTCGAATTACCAAAATTCAGCGATATTGTTGCTGGGTCGCTGAGCGCAGCCTGAGATAATCACTGACCTAACTTTGTTGTAAAAGTCTTACAGTGTTAATAGTCAACCTCGCAGAAAGGATTATTTTTTCTCTATAAAAATAAAAATGCTACAAGGGTATACAAGGCCTGTGTATAAGCGCAGATACGCTAAATACAGACACTGTCTTGTACAAGTTACATGCGATAATTAGATGTAATCATGACAGTTATGTGCACATTTAAACATTATCTGAATTCATATTTACAATATATGTACTGAGAAATCAAAGTAAACTTATAATTTAGTTACACATTGACTGGATTTTCGATGTCATTTTTAACGGCTTTACAGCAACAATTTTAACAAGTACATAAAAATGGACGGAAGATCATGATACAAATTAATTGCCAACTCATTGTAGCGGTTTGTTTTTTATGTAAAATAATAAAGATAAGTTGCTACATAAAAAATATACGTTGCTAATTGTGTAGATGACCGGGCGCATATTTCACAAGTGCACATCAGCGTAGCCACTGAGGGAGGGGTTTCGAAAATGGACCAATGAACTTCTGTTGCTCTTGTGACGCTAAATCTTCTTGTGAATGTGAACGTATGTTGTTTACGTTTTAATTTGCATTTGTTTCGCAGTTATAAATGTATGGCGTAAAAGTAGAAAATCTTGTAGAGCTTTCGTTTTATGAGTTTAATTAATCGCTGACATTTCACTTTCGAGATTTTTATCACGCTGTGATATTTGGATTGATGTTCACCTCATATTATCGCTCTTTACACCGAGAAAATGACTCAGGCTATAATTAGCCTCGAATATTTACTAACAAATGTGCATTAAGAGAATTCATGTGCATAGTTTATTATTATTATTATTTATTGAGCTGAGAAGGACTAGAAGTATTACAATGAATCTAGTGTTTTCTTATTTCAGTGCTTGCATTCATTTGGTTTTTAAGTGTAAGATTCAGAATACATATTGTGTATGATCTGATTATATCCATTGTTAACATTAAAAGTTGTATGTGAATAAATTGAATATATTCTTTGTGAATAGATAAATTCATTCTGTTTGATGAATATTTCTTGCGTAGACAGTATATTTAAGAGTGAGCAGTTATTAAATGTGAAATTTAACACACTAAATGCAATTTAGTGAAGTTCACTTTGAATAAAAGTTTGCATTGGCTATTATTATAACATCTTTTTCTTATAGACTGAAATAAAAAGTGCCGACTTCTATTTACATATATAACTGGTGTAAATATTTTTCTCATACGAATAGTTTTATGTAAAGATTACATTTAGGCTCAGATGTTTATCACATATTTCTTTCTTCATCTTATTTACCACTTATTAAGTAATATTTTACATCGATATTTTTGCGAAGTATCCAACATGTGTTTGCATTTATTTCAAATTCTTTCAACCAGGTAGTGAAATCTTCATAATTGCTTATATTTGATCTAACTTCGCAATGACAATTTTCAGAAGAAATAGACGATGTACAGAAAATTGCGTGGCAAAATATTTTCAACCCGTGCGAAAGGTCATGTGACATGACAGAAATATTGCTGGATGCTTATTGGTCTATCCTAGAAGCCACTCCCTCGGTGGCTACACAGATGTGCACTTGTGAAATATGCTGACCGGGCAGTGATTTTCCTATTGGTATACATTGATTCTCATGGAAGTAATTGTGCCATAGGTGCACGAGGGATTAAAATCGCAATATTGAATACAGTTATGGTTTGGTTAAATCATTAAATCATAAGAAGGTTAAATCATTAAATTACGGATATTGAGGGTTTAGTTGTTATACCATACTAGCTCTTACCCGACATGGACTGCAATACTAGTCAAGGGCATAAAAGTATTTGTGTTTTAATTCTGTTATGAATTGTTTCTTTGCGGGGATTTTGCATGTTTCAATTGGCTTGTGTCACATGATACCAAGGCTGGTAATGGTTTCGGTGGTGAATTTAGTTCTGGCAGTTTCACTTTTCTACACGCGCAGCATATTCCTGGTGCTTCATTCTTCAATTTGAGGGCTCTGCAATACGTGCATAATTCATCCATCTTTCCAACGCCCCACTTGGATGAACACTGTAATCATAATTAGCATAGTAGTGGAATGCACAAAGATTTAAATCAGCATGCAGTATTCGTCTGGATCCAGCAGTGCATACTCGAACATTTTTAAGTCTTGATGCCCGTTGCTCGTCTGTTTCAGACGAACGGGCTTAAGCAGTGTTTATTCGAACGTTTTCAAGTCTTGCTTCCCTTTGCTCGTTTAATTCTAAGGCTCCCGATGCCTTTTTCTTTTGTGCTTCAGGTGTAGATCGAGCATCGATTTTCGTTTCGGAGGCATAATTGATTTCACAGCGAAAATAATACTTCGTGGCAACTCTTACAAATTCGCTTCCAAAAACCAAAGATGCGTGAAAAATTAAATATGTTTCGCATTGCTGGATAATAACACACATTAAAATATTTTAATTTGGACAGTGGCAACGCATCTATCTTAAAAAGCCGAGTTTGTTTAATAAATCCGAGACAAATTAATATAATTGCGTTTTCCGGGTGGCAACACAATTTTTCTGATTAAATTTGAATCATATATACGGTACGCTTTGCATAACGGCAACGTGAAGCTTTTAAATCGCTGATATTTTAATCAAAAGTTCGTTAAATTAGCGTAAAATATGCGTATATAGAGTCCGGGCCTTGTGGGCTGGTTTTTTGAGAAATATTATGTAGATGGTGACCTTCCTCTTGTTTTCAAGGTCGGGTATGGGAAGTTTCATAAAGATCGGAATTAAACTGGAGATTTGAATAAAAGATAAACAAACCAACATTTTTATATACATGGATTAAATGAACTGTTTCAAAGATGGAACTTACATCTGCACATTTTCTGCTTGGTGTCAAAGTGTTTCTTCCAGTCCAAACACCGACACGAACCTCCTCTTCGCATGATATCATAAAAACACGTCATATCTTTTCTACAAAAGTTATCTTCTTTGCATTTCGTGACTTCGGAGCAAAGGTCGCCTGTAGTTCCCGGCATGCACTCGCAAAATTTGTTATCTCCATGACTGGTGCAAATCCCATAATTATGGCAGCCACGTGATAGACACGGTTCTGAAAATAATGCAAAGTATGAGTTATCTAAAACTCAATTTTCTGAGGCATTTGGAGCTGTAATCACATCGTATAACAGAAAAATTCGTTAATAGAAACTAAATTTAACGATAGCAAATACAGCTATTAATACTGTAAGGTATATTTTACTTTTAGAACAGTTATTTTAATTTAGTGAACCTTTCCTGTCTTATCTTGTTTCAACTTACAACTGCTTACCAGAATGAGTTTTAAGAATCGCGTTGAATGCAAATGAGGAAGAGAATAGATTTTAAGTCAACTGCCTTCGACAACTCTTGGAGCGAGACAGCTTCCGTCCTACGGTGTTAGTTGCCAATCGGAATTAGTGCTGTCCCACCCACTGACATCTAAAATGTTGTGACCTCACAGAGCAAGGGCAGACAAGGCAGTACCAGTACGGTCCCGGCCGAGCCTTACTTTGTCCCGAGAGCCTTCATGCCTTCTGTGAATTATGCCCATGGGGTTGAGACTGCTTATGTACAGATCCTAACTAGTACTTCCCAGGAATTCTCTTGAGTCAGACTTCGACAGAGAGAGTTAGGATTCCTGAGTAGCGCGCGTTTGCCTTTAGGATACGTCTCTCTATAGGTTTCTAAAAGTAGAAGTTCCGGAGCCCTATGGAAAACCATCATGAAAGGGGAACAAGAGTAAATAAATAAATGAAATTACTATTAAAATCATTAATAATTTAAAAATTAAATATTTAAAGAGTATCCAATTAATTAACACTTAATATTTATTAATTATTATTAAATTGATTCATAATTAATTAATTATTATTTATTAAATAATTAAAGATTAAAGTAATTAAATAATATGTAAAGAGATAAATTAAAATTTAATAAGGATTTTTTTATATCTAAGGTTATTGCTAAAAAATAAAATTTTCGAGATCAAATTTCTACTGAAATAATTATTCAGTTACATGAAAAAAAGTGCTAGAGTTTTCTTATTATTGACAATGGTTCGCTCCGGCTAGAATTAGATAATGTCCCAAAAACTAAGAAGTACCGGACGCGTAATGGCAAACTGCACATTCAGTTAATCAATGTTAAACGAATTTCGCCTACTGCGCATGCCCAGAAGAGAATTTGGCGTAATTACGACTTTGATACAATTTTAAAAGAAGATAAATACGGTGTGGGATTGATATTCTATTATCTGGGCGTAAACAGTTCGGGGTTTCAAAACTTGTTAGGTTGTAAGTTCCTTTATTACTTAAAGGGTAACTATGGATTGTAAACTACTGAAATTTTCGTTTGAGAATGATTACAAAACAATAAACATTACAGGATATATTAGCTGAAACTTTATTGAATATACTTGTGAGGAATAAAAGCAATTGCGTATCGTAAATAACTATATGTTCATTCGTATATACTTTAACAAATTAAAGAATAAATCCAGTTTAAATTACTGAACTAAAGTCAAGGAAATTATTATAAATAACTGATATTAAATATAACGTTTATGAACAAAATAAACCAAAATGAAATGAAACAAAAGCAAATGCATTAAGCACAAATAAATTTCGGTAGTATTGTAATTGTAAATAAGCGATAAGATCTACATGATGAACAGGCTTCTGTAATGGTTGCTTATGCTTAGTCGCCAGTATTTCCTGCCACGCCAATGGTACACCACGGAGCATGCGCAGTAAACGAAATTCGTTAACATTGATCAACTCAATGTGTGGTTTGCCATTACGCGTACCGGACTGGACTCCGGTGGGCTATGGCGCAATTTAAGCTCTGTCTGTCTAAGGTGTTACGTTCGGCCGTATTATGTGCCTTTTGATAGTTCGTCGGCTAGTTTAAGATTGCCAGCCAACTACTTTACAATTGCGTTAGCTTCGGCTAAATCGCTAAAAGTCATTAGTTAGTTCTCTTATTTCTTATTTTTGAGTTTAAGCCCAATTGGAGGCGTTGCTGTACGCCCGAAGAAAGGGGCCGACTGTTAATCCTATTTTGAGTGAATAAAGGGTAATTAATCCTTCATGAGATTACGCTTTCTGCTCTTTGAACTGTTAAGCGATTATTCGCTTACCAGTTCCTCGACATTTCATTTAACAGGATAAAAGTGAGAAACTCTATAATACTTTAACAAATTTGATATTTTATGCCTAGTGTAACGTCTTCAGCTATTTTCTGACGACCACCTCGAAATTCTCGGAGAAGTTATTTTCTAATCACCATATAGTATTAGCTTATCATTAATTAAACCGTTCTGCAGTCTTTGTTCCTTTTCATGGTAGTCAAAGAAAAGCATTGTTTCGTTCCTGAAAAAAAATTGGAACGCGGAATCCCTTCATCCAAATTACCACTCATCTGTTTCTATCTGGTTTGTAAAGGGGTTATCACACATGGCTACAGTGCCTGCTAGATGGAACTTTTCTGAGAAACGAGATTCTGGTAGCGCTGGTTTTAAACAAGAGGATTTATAGAAAAAAGAGCTCCGCCTGAAGCGAAGTCCCGCCTAGCTACGGAAACGTTGTTGCGGCTAAGCGGGATTTTTCAAACCTCATCGAAAATGTCTCGGCTGGTCCTCAGTCCCGGTTAGAAACAACCAATCAGACGAAAGTTCTGCTTCTGAAGCCTCACGCGATCCCAATCTGAGCGATAATCGATTAGTGTTTGGCGTTCAAGTCTTTGTAGTAAGTGAAAAGGGTAACCTAGCTACGTGGTTTCCTGGAATTGTTCGGGTTCTGAGAATTGTCCCTTTCGACGTCAAGTCCCGCGTAGCCGAAACATAATGTGATTGGGGCTTTATGTATCGACTGGCCATCACCGACCACCCTGATTTAAGTAATAAGTGGCTGCCCGAGAATTCTCATGGAAATTTTCACCAACCTGTCAAGATTGTACCCGTAAACAATCCGGGTGCCCTCGCCAATCGAGAGATCAAGGAAGTTTAAATTTCGAGGTACTTGCGCACTAAGCCTTTACCTCCACATAGTCAAAGAGTAAAAAATATCATCAAAAGAGGGGTTTATCTAATACGGTAAAAATTTTGAAAAGCCGAAAATAATAGCTTTAAATGTTAAATGCCTTTGCACTGAGAAAAAATGTAAAAACTCAGAAGGTCCTATAAATTAAATTTTGCGTCGAAAAATTAAGGACCAAAATAATTTAGAAGGGAATATCAGCATCAAATAATTCTGAATCGAATAATAAAAGCTTTATGTTTCCTTCAGTCTTGATATTTCTACTTGTGATGTCGACCACAAGAGAACGAAAGACCCGTGGAGATTCTATGAAGAGACGCTCTGAAAATGCTCGGGCAAATGAGAATTCAGGAAGTCGTCCCGATACATACAGGAAATCTTGTACAAAAACACTGAACGCAGTTTCAAGAAGAGCTAGTTAGTTAGTTTTTATTGGCAATAGAGAGACTTTCTCGCTTGTGCTTCCAGCTTTATAAACAGCAATTTTTTGTTCGCTCTGCCAGAAACATTTTTATGTCTGCGGAGAGATCCAGTAGTCTAGTCGGATTTTCTGCAACTTAACTTGAGAGCAACCTGCTCGAAATGGCCCCGGAGAGGCAGCAACACTGCTTGTCTTACACATGAACTTCACCCTGCATCAGAAAGAAAAGCGCCTCGAGGACTTTAACTTCCAAGTAAGGGACAGGAACTTTGACAGAATTTGTGTATCATCTGTTTTATTTTTTGTTTCATACTTTTTTCTCTTCCTTGTTGATGAGAACGTTATCTTGTAAATTATTTTCATATAGCCTAGAATTAGAATCTTTTTATAAATTAAATCACATAAATTAGTAATAATAAATTAAATAAATTAAATCTTAATTAATTATCTTTAAATAAGTTAATTAATTATTTTAATTTATAATTAGATAATATTATATTATCATTAATTAAATCTTAAACTACCTTATCTAAAATTATCTTAAATAATTAATTAAATTATCTTAAATAAATTAATAAAAATTCCTCCTTGTTTGTGCCAACTAGCTACACAACGTAACATTTGCTTCTTTCAATAAAAAAATATTAAATACATAACGTTACTTCATGATAAAAATATTCACGAAAAAAAAACTGGAATAAGAAAATTCCATTGAAATTTCAGTTCCATCAAAAATAGTCCTATATTTCTATCAGCTAATACATAATCAGTACAGTAGTTAATCAATAAAAGATCCATAAGGGAACCGTCAAAACATTGCTTTAAATAATAAAGAACTTCAGACCAGGCGTTTTGTTTACAGAGTACCTTCGCAATTAAATGCAGTTACCACATCTTTGTTAATAAAAAGGTAGTAATTAAGGAGAGAGCATTCGCTAAAGAAGGATGAAAAGAAAAAGCTATTAGAGCTAAGACTGGAGTTCGATAAGAGGTAAAGAGCTTCGTTTAAAGCTCCTCTTTGTCGGTGAGCAGTAAAACCACTAAGCACCGGTAGTCCAACCTTAGACTCAAATGCAGGCAGAAAGGCTAGCCGCGTAATAAGTTTCGTGACTTTTTTCGAGTGTAAAAGTCCAGTTCACATTAAAACATGCTCCACGAAAGTATCTCTCCCTTTAAGTAGGGGATCATTACGTACTTTGCCATAATCAAAATAAACCGAAACTAAGTTTAGAGTAACTAATTTCCCACATTGTCCATTTCATAGACATGCTCAGTATATTATTATTATCTAAGTGCTCCGCCCTCAGGCACTAATGGAATGGAGGGATGCCTTCGTAGAAGACTTTCTAAGGGAAACTGACTCGAAGTAACATGCTACACATGGGGCAAATCACGAAGACGTACATGTAGCCCGCCCGATAGGTTAGCAGGATTCGATCCTCAGATTGAACTACCAGCGTTCAGGGACTTTATCTCTCGGCCACTGTTGAGCCTACGCTCAGTATATAACGGCTATTTTTATTTTTCTCTATATTTGTGTCTCGAATAATTTCTTTGTCACTCAAAACTTGAAAATTTGGTTTGTTCTTTTTTACATTTACCCATTCCAAAACGCCCTCCTTTTATCCTTTCAATCATATAAATGAATTAATTTTCAATTAGAGTTGTTTTTCTTTAAAGATGCAAACGACATTATTTAGCATCATGCAAAATAAAAAGGACGTTATGATTCAACACTGAAAAAAAAAGACCAAAGATTCAATGTGCTGTAGATATTATTCAGATATTTTATTCTTCTATCAAATACGTTATTTAAGTTTTAGTTTAAACGACTTTTTTTATTTAAAATAATACTATGTAACAACACGTATAATTTTAGCGATCAGTGTTAATGGATCACAGTATATGTTATTTTAAAACAGATGGCGCAAAACAATTTGTTCGATGTTATGCAAATTGTATTTCCTTCTTTGTGCCGAGGAGCGGCGCAGACGCAAATTTGTTAGGATTTTAAAGCTCGCGTTTAGAGCTTTTGGGTTGCTGTGATTTATTGGAGTTCCAACCAGGCAGAGGTTCTTCTGAGTTGCTTTGAGATCCGCGTCACAAGTCAGAGTTTTGTTTGTAGTATTGAAGATAACGAAGAACACCGGGTAATTTACCTTTGCAAGTTTTGTCCTTGTAATCAAACTGCTTACTAAGATTCGAACATTGGCAGAAAGCTCCCATTCGAAAACTGTCATAAGTACACTTAGCATCACTATCAGTACCGCAAAGATTATCTTCCTTACATTCCGTAATTTCAGAGCAATGGTCGCCTTTTGTTCCTGGCAGGCATTCACAGAATTTCAAATCCCCATATCCGGTGCAATTTCCGCCATTTTCGCAGTCATTTTCTTGACAAGGATCTGAAAAATTTGTGACATTATACATAAAATAAAATCTAGGTTACAAAGGTAATAAAAAAACATTTATTATGAATAGAGAGACAATACAAAGGGAATTAAGAGACACGTTTTTGCTACATCATAATTAAATCAATTAAGGCATTTATCTGAACGCAATATCAACTTGTTTAACGCGGCTTTGTAGAAATCACGTTTCTGTCCACGCAGTCAATTCTCCGTGGCTGTTTCCACATCACTGTCTGAATGCCTCATTCCAGTTAAATAGTCCTTTAATTTGGGAAAGGAAAATAGTCACAGGTTGTTAAATCTGGGCTATGCTGGCGCTGACTCCAGTCTTCCCATTTTAACTTTTGCAGCAACTCTTAAGGGGGCTAATACACTTTAAACCCCCTAATGATCTTCGAATTATGGGACTGTTGCATGCATTAGGATATTTTATTTATTTTAAAAGCAATTACTTCCAACCTTTTACAGCTGACTACATAATATAGCTGCTTTGGAAACTAGTAACCAGAAAGTTTGTGTTGCCACAAATATTTTTTTAATTTAATCCGCTTTGTGACAAAAATTTTCATCCCGTTTCCACATTACGCGCATGATATTTTAAAAATGGGTAATGCTACATACTTGAAGATTGCATGGAACTTCTTTATATGTGACACGATTTTCTAACCTGAACCAACAATCTGATGAATATTTTAATATTAAAACATTTTTATGCACGAAAACATTACATATTTTTTTAATAAAATACATTTTTATAAACTCGACTCCAAATTAAATAAAAAATAAATTTTTAACATGAAAATTCTTAGAGTTTTTCGGTTCACAGTAGTTTCCTAAATGCTATAAAAGCTATATATTAAATATGGAATTAAATTATGCAACAGAATGTTTCAAAACTGCGCGGGCAAGGTGGAACACTTGACGAAACATTGTTGTTCACAAAAGCGGATTGAAAATATGGACAATATTTGTGGCAACACAAATTTTCTGATTACTATTTCAGGAAATTAGCTATATTATGTAGTCAGCTGTAAAATGTTGGAAGTAATTGCTTTTAAAATAAATAAATTATCCCAATTCTTGCAACAGTCACATATTCGAAGATCTTATGGGATTTTAAGGTGTATGAGTCCCCTTAAGTTTGGCGAGCAGTATGGCGTCGGATATTGCCATGCAGGATGATGACACCATCACCCAACATGCCTGGGAGCTTGCGTCGGATGGCTTCACGTAACCTTGTCCACGTGGCACAAAAACGTTAGGCAGTAGCGTATGACCATGCTCCAGATACTCGATGAGGACAACGAATCACGGCTCGCATCTCCAAGCTAGATTACTTTTCTAAACGGCTTGCCATTTCAATCGTTCTGACGCGTCTGCGAACTTCCTATAGCTACCGGAAAACTCAACTTCCCGCCGTTCAACTCAATGAAATTTCGAAACTCAACTTCCCGCCGTTCGAGGAGATAATGCCACAAACCAACAGACAGACAGATGCGCCCAGATAATACTTAGAATATGAAAATCTGCAAGATATTGACGCAGGAATGTTTATAGAAGTACCTCAAAACAAAATGCCTTTCGTAGGAATTTTTTATCTGTTATTTGTTTTTTATTACAGTGGAACCTCGATATACGAGCACCTCTATATATGAGAAATTCCAGATACGGGGAAAGTATGAGCGAAACATTTGCCTCTAAATACGAGCATTGACTCGAGTAACAAGCAATGAGCCAGGCTGTTGGTATGCGTGGCGCCATTTCCCGATTCGGCTCGACTCGGGAAATCCTCTGGTCAGATCACTCGGTGGTCTTTGGTGGATCCGGCTCGACTCAGGGAATCCTCTGGTCAGATCACTCGGTGGTATTTAGTGGATCACTCGGTGGTCTTTGGTGGATCACTCGGTGGTATTTGTGCGCTTGTGAGTCAATTTGTTTATTATATGTAAGATGAAAATAATTACTTCACGATGCCTGCCAAGAAGATTGTTGCCTCAGAACGCAAAAAAATAGTTGTTGTTGCTGCAAAGAAAAATAAGGAAACAGTTGAAATTAAGAAAGAAATCATAGATAAACAAGCATAGAATAGTGTAAAGCAAGCAAGAATAGTGTAAATGTGACGGAATTGGCATACACTTACGGGCTTTCGACATCGACGATTTGCACTATTCTGAAGAAGCAAGAAGAAATTAAGAAACTTGATATGTGGCCAAAGGAGTTACCGTTACTTCCAAGCACCGTCCAAAACTCTTAGAAGATGCTGAGATTGTTGCTGATTGTTGGTGTGGTTTAACGAGAAGCAGTTAAAAGGGGGGTGTCTAAAGCTATCATAAGGGCAAACTACGGTTACATTATTTATCAGTGTTATTTATTAGAAAAATTGATTTTTATGTTGATAGTTTTGGGGGTGCGGAACAATTTGAAAATAATGAAATAATGGATAATTGAAAATAATGGATTTCCATTGTTTTCAAAGGGGTTTTGTTTCTAGATACGAGAAATTCACTACACGAGCTCAATGCTGGAACGAATAAAACTCACAACTCGAAGTTCCACTGTACTAAGAAAGTGTATCGTAATTTCCATACGTTATAAGAGCTTTTTGCAAAATTTTCAGGAATATTGGCCTGCACTTCTCTTTTACTATTTCCTGAGTCCATCGATCATGGTAAATAGTAGGTTAAGAAGAGCTCTTTTCAGAGAGTGAAGGCAAAACAATCATAGGTTTCTAAGATATTTTTATATTAATTAACACAAAGCAAATTTTTAAGTTTTAATTCTGAATTTACTTCTAGTTTAGACAGGAGCTACAATTTTTTTGTTTTTTTCATTTTACATAACAATTAATTTTCTTTCAGAACAGTCATAATGATAACACATTTACATGTTTAATTTTATAATTTTTTCATTCGAAAACTAATTTTAAGCTAAGTAATTTTTCTTCAAACTACAAATATATTTACTTACATATTTTCACGAAAATAACGACACCACAAAAATGCATAAAATTAAAATGGGGATGTAAAATATAATTGTTAATACAAAAATTTTTACGTTTAAAAAAAAAAGAACGAAATCTGCACATATCTATAAAACTTGAATGTATTAATAAAATATTATACGATAAAAAAAAGCTTACTTTTACAGATTTTCTCCTCGTAATTGAATTCCTCATTTTGTTTGAAGCACAGGCATATAGCTTCCCTTCGATAACTGTCATATATACATATGCTATCATTGTGAGTATCACATAAATTACCTTCTTCGCATTCAATAACTTCTGAGCAGAAGTCACCTGATGTTCCTGGCAGGCATTCGCAGAATGTAAAATCGTCGGATAGGGTGCAATTAGCACCATTTTCGCAGTCACCTTCCCGGCACGTCTCTGAAAATGTGAAGAAACTGCAGGTATAATAATGTTTCAAATAAAAAGGAAAATATAATGTGAACTAAGTTCAAATTCGTGACAGTGGACACTTAATAGTCAATAAATGTTCTGTTCATATCATCAGTCTACTAAGTTTCATTTTTTTGAAAAACAGCCCCCTTTAGGGGCCGAGTGTTTAAGAACAGATGAATATTGGCAGGTGGACTGCCATAGTCGAATGGTCTGACTGTATGTTTGCTTTCCGGGGTTTATCTCAAGTGCAAGGTGAATACGAGCCACTTTTGCATAGAAAGTCCACCACGAAGACATCATTCCCTTTACGCACATATCCCTCGTGTGCTTTGCTATATTATATAACCTAATCTAATATACGAAGGATTTTGACAATATTTTACAGGATCCCTTGATTAGCAGCATTTTATGTTGTGGGGTTGTAGAGACATTACGTTAATTGAAAAAGCCGGAAAGATGAAAAATGAGCAAACGCCTTCGCCGGGAATCGAACCATGGACCTCTGGAATACCGGCCCAGCTTCCAGAACCGCTACCCCACGAAGGCACGCCAAGAAGATGGGAGAAATACCTTATATACTCCCCCTTTTAAAGGGCGACTGGGGTTTTGGGAAGAACTAGTTGCCAAATCCTGGGTTTGGAGAAACCTCATCCAGCACCCTCTTAGTTCGGGTGCCACTGTAGAGACATTAGGTTAATTGAAAACGCCGGAGAGATGAAAATGAGCAAGCTTCTTCGCCGGGAATCGAACCACGAACCTCTAGAATACCGGCCCAGCCTGCAGAACCATTACACCACGAAGGCACGCCAAGAAGGGGGGGAGAAATACCTTATAGGGTTCATCACTTCTATTAAACTAAGTGTTGAGCAACCTAGTGAACTACTCAGCGAATAATCGCTTAAATCCAAGAACAGAAACGTAAACTCAAAAAAGGTTAATTACACTTTATTTACTCCAAATAACAATCGGCCCCTTTCTTCGGGCGTACAGCAAAGCCTCCATTCGGGCTTTAAACCTCTCGCTGCGTACTTTTTTTTTTATCAAAATAGGTTCAAAAATTGCGTATTTTTTATTACATATTTCAAATCTTCAAATCTTCATATATTTTAGAGTTAAAATAATTTAGAGTTAAAATATACAAAAATTTTTTGTAAAAAAGTTTTTTTTTTTTTTTTTTTTTTTTTTTTTTTTTTTTTAATATAGAATTAGATCATAGAAAAAGGTTGTCAGAATACTGAAATTGAAGAAAATGATATAAAAGAAAATTTTGAAAATAAATTGGTTAAATTATGATTTATTTTATAAAATACAAGGTAAAATATATACTAATGAAAATATTTGCATAATGTAACATTTTGCATATCAATTTTGCACTACTGTCGAACGTTTTCAATAGAAACTGAATTTTCAGATTTATCACTGTCTTCAGAGGAATCCGAGAAATTCTCATCAGTTTCGCTACAACTATCTTCAATACTACTTGAATACTTTTACTTGAAATCAGAGTCAGAACTACTATCAGTGTCGGAAATATCGTTAGGAATATCACTCGCGAAACGCTTCCTGCCAGACATCTTTGAGTTCTGAAAAGCGAGCGCAAAATGCTATATTACGTATTCTTGTGTATGTTTGGCAGAAATATGGACAACTAACGGGATCTGTTAGTCCACATCTAAATAAACAATTAAACACCGCAGAAAAGCCGAAAGGAAACCTTGAACGAGGAAAGAACAGGCTACACAGTTAAATAAACGGGAAAAATTCATCCCCGTGGAAATCGCAGGATGCGCGGCGAGAGGGTTAACTCAAAATATAAGAAATATGAACTAACTAATGACGAACTAAAGAGATTTAGCCGAAGTTAACACGATCCGAAACTGGTTGGCCAGTAATATTAAATTAGCCAGCGAAGCTATCAAAATGCACTTAATACGGCAAAGCGTAGTAACAGTTTACACAAACGGATCCAAGAGGCAAACGTGCGCTATTCAGGAACCCTAACTCCCTCTGACGAAGTCAGTGGAAGTTAACTTAATAAATACTGCTCTATTTCTCATATGCATTTAACGCAAGTCTAAAAACTCATTCTAGTAAGGAATTGTAAGCTGAAGCTAGAAGAGACAGGAAGTGGCAAAAACTTAAAAAATCTGATGGGTGCACCACATGATTTCCTTGTACGGAATATTAAATTATACGCGTTTTTCCTGCATTTCATTTAAACTTATTGAATTGAATTAAATCTACCTCGTCGATAGCGCATAAACCACAATAGAATAAGTGCACTCTTTAAAATTCACCATATTTGTTTACCATAGCGACACTCTGGCTCTAGATTTCCTTAACAGCGTACATGTCATTCATTTTTTAACTCAGCATGCACAAAGTTTATATCACCTTAAGAATTGTCTAATCGCTGCCACATGTTCTATTCAAATACTATAGTAAATCTAAAACGATGTATAAAAGAAATTAAGCAAAGAACAACAACAACAACAAAAAGAACAGTTTTTCACAGACGATTCAGTATTTCTCATTCAATTAATTCAGTTCTCACTTCGTGACAAGTCAAAAATACGTAAAAACTCAAAATGTCTGTATTGAAAATTATGAATGCAAATCTTAAACACTTATTTCCTCGAATAAATTCCAGAATGGAATTAAAGCATGCTTTAATTCGCAATAAAAAAAGAAGGCGTTATCTTTGTTTTCGCGAAGCCTATTTTCTCTAGATTGGCAACAAATCTACTATCCTGCTGTTGTCTCAAATGTAAACAAAGCAATTCCCGCCTTCATGCAAAATTATTAGGCTTAGCGACACTTAAGCAACTTTTAAATTGTTAATCATTCTAAAAATATCGCATGCGGAATTTACTAAAGGACATAAAAACCTTAACTGGAAGATCAGAACAACATAATTCAATCATTTTTAAAGCAAAAAGTGCACGATTTACAGACGTATTAAGAATAAAGAAACTGAGATTCACTTGAAGCCGAGTAACAGAGTGAGATATATATAGACATATATTTATATACTTTTGGTGCGATCGATTGCAACCAAAATACGAGATGCACATCTACATGTTATAGCAGTCCTATATACAAAATTTCAACGTTCTGAGGCTACTCGTTTTTGAGTTATGCGAGATACATACGTACGTACGCACAGACGCCACGAAAAATTCTCTTTAGAATTCATTTTAAATTAGTTTTACAATTTTTGGGGAGGAAACGAGTTCTTCATTCTGTCCTTACGTTCAGATGTCACGCAAAAACATCGTTAAATTGCATTCGATAGTGGTGAAAATGGATATTTGCTGTAAAATATGATGCCTGAAACTTTTCGCGATTACAATACTTCCCTTTTACTTCGTACAAGGAAGTGATAACTGTTATAAAATTAAAATATACCTTACAATCTCTTATGTAATATTTTAATTTCTGTCGATAGCCAACCCTTTCCATATAAGCACAGAGATAGATAGAGCAGTTAATTTTATCTGAGAATGTTTTTTTTTTTTTTTTTTTTTTTTTTTTTTTTTTTTTTTTTTTTTTTTTTTTATTCTCGTACAGTCAGGACTGCAGAGGAATTTGCCAACAAACTTTACAACCATCATAATCTTTCGTTACAAAACACATTATTGTTTATGGTGGGTGCTTATTTTTTGTTTCCAACAACAACCCTACCAGTCCAGCGGCAGAGACGTCTTCAACAACATACTAATATTTAATCCATTTTACACAAGAAGATGCCAAAGTTTTGCCAATCATACTTATATTGTATTTCATTTCCGATGGATGGTCGAACACCTCAACATAGCAAATTCTCTTTTAATTTAAATTTTCGTTGAAAAAGATTATTGTGTTTATCTGAAATTTATCGATATGTATTTGCTTGAAAACGGATAAAATTCGACTGTTACAATGAAGCGAAGAATGTATGTACTCCGAGAAGTCACACTGCTGTCTTGCGCATCTGATTTTGGAGGATATTGTTACGAATTTTGTGCATATGGTAAATAATTTTAGCGAAATTATACGTGATATTGTAGTATTTGTTTTGTATAATGTATCACGAAAATTTAAAGAAGCATAGGTTTTTGGGACAGTAAGAATGAAGAGCAACTCTCTTAAACACCGAGTAGATACTATTTCGCTAAATTGGTCAGATATCGCCAAGCTGGCGACGCTTTTTGCTACTAATTTCTGTCGCCAAATTTGCCGGGAATCTGCAAAAGTCACCAAACTTGGCAACATTTTCAGCTGTTTCCTATATAATTGTAATGGACATTGTGACTGAGTAACTGTTTTTGATGCTATATGTAGGTGTAAGCCTATCTGGCCATTGCACATAAACAATTAAACACCGCAGAAAAGCCGAAAGGAAACCTTGAACGAGGAAAGAACAGGCTACACAGTTAAATAAACGGGAAAAATTCATCCCCGTGGAAATCGCAGGATGCGCGGCGAGAGGGTTAACTCAAAATATAAGAAACTAATGACGAACTAAAGAGATTTAGCCGAAGTTAACACGATCCGAAACTGGTTGGCCAGTAATATTAAATTAGCCAGCGAAGCTATCAAAATGCACTTAATACGGCAAAGCGTAGTAACAGTTTACACAAACGGATCCAAGAGGCAAACGTGCGCTATTCAGGAACCCTAACTCCCTCTGACGAAGTCAGTGGAAGTTAACTTAATAATAAAATTCAATCCAACAATTCCGAGAAGTTGAAAGTACTAGATATATCTCGGCCGGGAGGAAACTATATTAGACCAGGGAAAGGGACGCTTTTTGGAAGGTCAAGTGATGCTAAGCCGAACGTGGCTACCATTTTTTTATATTTTGGAACTCAATTTTAGTAGAATAGTGAATTCACTCAATTCACGAACTTCAGTGTCTTTTTGCCCGGTGTGACCAAAAGTTAACTTTTGATTTTGTACACTGAAATTGTTTTCTTCCTGCTCGCTGGTTTTTGCGTAGGAATTCTAATTTAAATTGTAAATTAATTTTAACTGTTTGTGTTTTACGTTTTTCTGTATTTTGCAATTTTTAATCAAGTCCTTTTGAGTTTTTATGTATTTTTGCCTTGCCACGAAGTAAGAACTGAATTTGAAAATGCGAAATATATCTCTAATGAAATTCGAGTAAATAAGTTTAAATGAACTGCAGCAAAAAAAAATGTGTTTAATAGGCCGCAAATAGAAGTCATGTGCTGTCCGTATCAGATATTTAATGTTTTTTACTCACCAATCAGTCCTAATCCGATATAGAATACAAAGAGGAGAATGTAGAACATACCTCTGCAGACTTTTTCCCTATAATCAAACTGCTTGCTAGAATTCAAACATTGGCACGTAGCTTCCATTCGGATGCTATTATATATACATGTGGTATCGTTGCCTGTGCCACAAAAGTCAGTTTCGTTACAATCTGTAACGTCAGAGCATGCGTCACCCGTCGTCCCTGGCAAACATTCGCAAAATTTGAAGTCTCCGTGTCCGGTGCATTTTCCGCCATTTTCGCAATCACTATCTTGGCATGGCTCTGAAAATATTGTAAAACTGTATATTCATGAGCATGTTTAATAAATAATGAATATAAAAGAAACAGTGATATTAAACTAAATCTAAACGAAGCGTTTTAATCTGAGAATATACTTTTAGAATGTTTTTCACTTTTCTCTTTCACCCTTAGTTTCGAGTGCTCAGAAAGAAGATATATCTCGGCCGAGAGGAAACTATATTAGACCAGGGAAAGGGACGCTTTTTGGAAGGTCAAGTGATGCTAAGCCGAACGTGGCTACCATTTGTTTATATTTGGAACTCAATTTTAGTAGAATAGTGAATTCACTCAATTCACCAACTTCGGTGTCTTTTTGCCCGGTGTGTCCAAAAGTTAACTTTCGATTTTGTACACTGAAATTGTTTTCTTCCTGCTCGCTGGTTTTTGCGTAGGATTTTAATTTAAATTGTAAATTACTTTTAACTGTATCGTGTTTTACGTTTTTCTGTATTTTGCAATTTTTATCAAGTCGTTTTGAGTTTTTATGTATTTTTGCCTGGAGTAAATTGTAACTTTTTGGGTACTTTTCCGTTTTACAGCCGCAGGCGATAAACTCGCCAATAATGTCACAACTGTTGCCAAACGGAATATCCTCGCTGATAACCTTTTACGCATCATTTTCAAAACAAGTCACAGCTATTTCTTATCAGATTGATTGTTTCTTTCAATACTGGCATACAATTACATAGAATTTTTACTAGATAGCTCAATTTTATGTCATTCAAGATAATTAAGTCTATTAGGATGCTATCACACTTCTCACTCGAAGGCATATAGAAAAGGCAAAGTCAAGGGTTAAATTCATCAATTTTAATGAGAATGCAGTAGCGAAGTAAAGCACTGCTGTTTCACATAATTTCAGAGTAAGCTATTCGTACGAATTGGAATAATTCTTGCATTTAAACTATTATTCCAAATTAAGATTTAACTTGAAATTAATGTAGGTAATTACTAAGAGAATTAGATTTTTGTAGCGTAGTTTACGTGAAATGAGTTCATTGGGGTCACATAATATGAACCGGCGAATCAGGATGTTGAATCATAAAAGCATAGTAAATTCTCAAATTAATGTCATTTTGCAAATTTATTGTCTTTATACAAAATTTTAAACGATATTAAAATGTCTATGCCTTCAAAATAAAAAATTCTTAAGAACTAACATTTGTTAGCATTTTTTAAGTGTATACTGTATGTTGTCGCCAATAAAGTCTGCTTGACGAGATTTGCGCCGGCGAAACGGAAAAGTACCCTTTTTTGCTTGTTTCTCCAATATTCTTAATTATTCTATTTTAATTGTTAAGATTGAAACTTCCTTTGTGTATGCATAAGTTTATGTTTGTCGCAGAGTAGGGTTTTCATTTTGGATCATCTTAGGTGCTTACTGCAAATAATTAAAAGCATAGCATAGAACCTTTAAGACGTAAATTAAAATTATAAGACATACAGTTTACAGTATAGCCTGAGTACTGATACTTGATTTTTGTCATGGTTAACAGGTATTGTGTTACATTCATCATTAACTATATTTATTTTAATTTTAAATAATAATAATCAAATTAATTACATTTTTCATATCACGATACATAATTTTAAAAAATAAATTTCGAAATGTATTTACGTGAAAGAAGAAAGAATAAAAAACTAACACATAAAAAAAATAAATAAAATCTGAAAGGTTTCAGATTTTAAATTACGTTCAAAAGGGCGTTTTTTTTTTTTTTTTTTTTTTTTTTTGTTTTTTTTTTTTTTTTTTTTTAACGTTTTGTCTGTTACCTTTATTTATAAATATCATGTTCTTCGCACTTAAACCATAAATTTCAGTTCAATAGCAATGTTGCAAAATAATTTTAAAATGAGCCTATCTTTAGAATTTCCGATACACAGTTCCGTGCGCTGGAGATAAAAACGTCCTCCCCCCCCCGTAGAGTGTCGCCATTGCTCGCTTTCAAATCGTTGAGTTTATTGCTCAAGAATTCGTTGAAGATTTACAAAATATGAAATCGATTATAAAACAAATTCCAAATTTTAAATTTGGGCTTCCACATGCCCATATTCGCAGTAGGATTACGTCATTCAAAATTCAAACAACAGCTCTATGCACCGTTGTTTTATCACAATGCGAGAAATATGCATACAGTTATGCAGATTTTTCATTATTTAATTTGTTCAAATATAATGTAGGACTCTAACATTTGATGGCAACAGCTTGAAAACTGAAACGGACATTTATAGTGATTCAACGCAAAATCGCAAAACGAAAACAATAGTCCTTCAGGTACAAAGGCCCTTTGGACTAAAAATGCAGTTGAATTAAAAATAAAGTTCATAAAGTTTACAGTTCATGGAGTCCATAAAGTTTGATCAGACATTCATAAACTCGCTGACACAAGTAATCATAATGTCTTAATTAAGCTTTTATGCTCATAAATCAAAGTAATGCAATTATTGTGTGAGTTTATAAATAAAGTAAAGGTACATCTTTGTTATAGCGGCCCTCAGCCTTATTTGGCGATTTTAAATTCGCGCCAAGATCTCAGTCATAATTTCATCAAATTTGTCGAGCGCGAATGTAAAAATAAACAACAAAATATTTAGTAATAATGTTGCGTTCTACGGTTTCGTGGATATGGAGTAATTGACAATGACCCTTGATGAAAAATCAGAACACAATTTTGTATTTCACAAAACAATTCGAAAGGCGCGTTTACAGTCATCGATATCCTACAATGAACACTCTGAAAAGTCAACAACACTGCCTTCAGGCTGTAACGAGGAAGACAGCTTCACGGCAAAGCACTTAAGTGCAGCTTCCGAGCTGGTCGATCGCTCTCAAGTTTAGTTGAATTCAGAGATTAACTTTCGTCTGGCGTTCAGAGAAGACGCAATACTACTCTTTTTTTCCCGGGTACAGGCAGGTTTATATATAGTTTCAACCTACCTTAGCGAATATTCCCGAGAAAACCGCTAAGAAAGTGTATTAGAATGTTCTCACACCGTCTATGCCATATCGCCAATTTCCTCACCAAATGGACGATTTCGAGACAGAACTGGTAACACTAACCCCGCTTTGCGGAGAAACTATCTCACCGGAGTTGGGCTTTCGTAACAATAACAATAATAGTTACATGTCGTTTCCTAAGAATATTTTTAAGGCTCTTTATCATCATTATTATTGTTTCGTTAGCGTATGTCATTCTTCCAGTCAATTGCAGCACTTTCACACATATTAAGCTGTTCGTTATACCATTTCATAGACGTCAACTCCTCTGGCCAAGAATATATAAATCTAATAGCAGTTAAGAACGATATTCTGCAACCGCTAAACCAATTTCCGACACGAAGGCCCTTCTTCTTTTTTCAATTTTTAACACTGCAACTCCAAATGGCTTCGTCTTTAACGTAAAGTTTCATGTTGTGGTCATTTTCGCATACTCGTTTATCAGGTAAAAGACGTTTTTCCTGAAAAAATTATATGGCATCCACCATATCAGAAAACATATTGTTAAATTACACTCGGTATACAGTGGAATTGTTGGAAATGAGAGGGTGGACGCCCTTCCTAAAATGGGCGGAACTTGATGAATGGACCGATAATTTTGATATCCACGATTCAAGAAAAAAGGCCATTTATCATAAATAATTTTGATATAAATCAGATACTGACTAATCATGGGCGTTTCCCGGCTTATTTTAATCGGTTGGCACCAACCGAATAATGATAAATGCTTAATATGTGATGAGATTGAGGACGCCAACTACTTCGTCGATGAATGCACGCTTACCCTGAGTGGAAGTGGGAAATATAGGAAATATTTTAAGGAAGATTTTAAAAGGAACTATTCAAATTTGAAAGATTTTTCAGAGACAATAAGGAAGATTATAAATATGAACAAATATAGAACTGGAATTCGGCCATGAGGCTGAGATTTTATACTTTATATGTTTTTTCTTTTAAACGAAGAGAACGGCCGGACCGCTGGCTCTTTGTTTTGTTGTTAGAATAGCCAGTCCCACTTTTTGGTCACATGGCCGGCTAGGAGGATCGGGGCTCCGCCTTTATGTTGATTATGATGATGATGATGGCATCCACCTCGTTACTCGTTAAATTAAAGATTGTTAACGTCATATTCACAAAAAAAAAAAAAAAAAAAAAGCAATGAATATATTTTTAAATAACAGAATTCGGAAAACCTGATCAAAAATGAATAATATAAGAACACGCGGCGAAAAGGCAACACTGTGCTAATATACGAATGCGTGGCGAGGTATATAAGAACACGTAGCCAGATTTTGGAGAGATATCTTGTTTGATTGGCGATTCAATCTTGGGGTCGCTATACCAAAGAAGTACCAAAATAATATATATATATAATTTATTTACTAAAGAAATATTGATTATATTATCTCCTAAGATTAATTTTTAGAATTAGAATTATCTAAAAGAGTGAATCCATGTTAGTAAGTTTAATTCCGAAAACTGTTTTTAAAAGTAACTGAATATACTTGTTTAAAAATGTTTAAAGAGGACTTGAATTAAATCATGAATAACAAAATTTAAATTATAAAAAAAATTAAATTAAAAGCAAGTAATCATTGCCATTGATCGGAAATTAGTTCACTTTTCAAGGGAAACAAACCAACTCCCGTTCAATGAACAATAATTAAGAAATAAATACGAAGGTGTTTCGTCCTTTCCTCCAGTAATAAGGCGATACCAAACTGGTAATTTAAGTTAGGCCAAATATTTCCGTGAATGGAAGGGATCAAGAACCAATGCAGAGCATCAAAGAACTCATTTTGATTAAGCATTTTCACTAATTCAATTTTGAGTGAAAAGCAATTTATGCAGTAAAATTGATAAATTACTTGAGTAATTGTCCCCCGACACCCTCGTGTTTATGCACTTTAATTCAAAACTATTTGTAAAAAATTAAACATTGGAAATTGGCATTACGAAACGGAACTCAAAGTAATTAAAATAAACATTAGAAAATTACGAAGTATAAGAAATTTTCTTAATCTTAGGAGATAATATAATCAATATTTCTTTAGTAAATAAATTATTATTAACTTACTTTGCAGCTATTGCGCAAGTAGTAGAATAACTTGATTTCACACTGAGTGAATTTAAGATCATACAACATTATATATATATATATATATAAGAAAGTAGCAAGACAACAGGAATTAGAGAGACCTTACTCAAAGAATATGTATTGTTAAGAAGGAAAGCTTCGCAGCGGCAGGAGTGGCTCCCTCCGAACGAAGAGGGACACAACTGCGCATGCGTGAAATATCGGTCGCCAAAAGTCGCCAAAGCTCGAAGAGGTTGGACGGTCTCGTTTATCAAGAGTTTAAAGCTGTGTGACTCCATTTTTCCCTTACATATTGACAGATATAAAATCAGACATCAAACTGCGATATGGATAACACAAGTTCAACTAGTAAAGCAAAAAAGCACGAAAATTCGAGTTTAAATTATGGCGAAAAGTCAAAGAACGATTCATCTTAAGCCGTATTCTTCAATTTTCTGTACACATGGCGGAGTTGAAAAATCTCGGCCAGGTATATCACAAAAGGGGAAATTCTCGCCAACAGGTTCCGTTGCCAAATCCATTGGCGAATTGTCCCTCTTCTTCCTAGCGGCTTAGAAGACAAGCTGGTTTACATTACGTCTATGAAGCCTTTCCTTCTTTACATAGACTTTCTTTGTCTTAGTGGTCAAGAATTTTGCGCACTGAGCTGCAAAATTTTTTTTTTAATTTTATAAGAAAGAGTACTGTTTAAAAGCTGTTTTAAAGCAAATTTTAAAGCAAAAACGTAAAATCATGCAACAACTAGAAACAATAATAAAGCATTAAAAGCCATCTTGTAAAAATTAAATGTTAAAATTACAAATCGAAATGACTACAAAACCAAAATCAAAAAGGGTGAAAAAAAATTTAATAAATTGAAACGCACTAAATTTTTTTTTTAAAAAAAGGACTCTTGTAAAAATTAAATATATTTCAAAAATACAGTAAATATGTACAAAAAATTACAGAAAATGGTAAATAACTCAAATCGAGGTTTGAGCCGGGTTTATCAAGGGAAAAGCAGTTCAGAACTCGAATCAAGTTAATACCTAAAGCGCGTTTCGTCAAACGATAATAATCGAGACTATAAGCGTAATTTCACTAATAGAATATTCCAACTTAATGATCTAAAAAAGTTTGGTAAGTCTCAATTATATCCCTCTTTTCCCGACGCGCCGTAAAGCTTTACAAGAAATCTTAATTTAGCAAATGTAAAGTTAAAAGAAAACAGCTAAAAAGCTATTGACGAGCTGTAGTTTAAATTGTACGAGGGCATTTCGAAAAGTAAAGATACACCGTACGCCAGAGGAAAAGAAAAGTTTTGGTGAGCAAGTTGGCAACACAGGTGTTAACCTTGACACGTTTGCTTTCTCCTCGCGGTCGTTCGGCATTTCAACGTTCGATTCTGGTTGGAGTAGGTCGTGTTTAAAATGGTTGAGCCGATTCAAGAATCCCGCCAAATGTGAAGTGCACTCCTGTCAAACGTTTTCTTCATGCAAAAGGTCAAGCGACCAGCGGATATTCGCAGAGAAATTGTTTCTGTTTATGGGTAACATTATGAATCGACAAACTGTAATGAAATGGTGTCGTCATTTCTCTGAAGGTAGGACAGATGTTCATGATGAACAAAGAACAGGTCGGCCATCTGTGATCTCTGATGCCCTTCTTCAGAGAACAGAGGAAGCAATTCATGCGAATATACGTCTCAAATTGAAACAATTGCATCAGATCATACCAGAAATGTCAATGACACCTCTATATGAAGTTGTGACTGTCAGGATAGGCTTCACCTCTATATGACGTTGTGACTGTCAAGATAGGCTGCTATCACACGGCGGTTTGTTTCGGAAGAACAACTGTTTGGAACAATTTTTCTGCTTTGTCACAACAGCCAATCACCATAGATCGCTTTGGGGTTAACACAGGGGAAACTGGTTCCCCATTACAAACAAGCTGATAGCTGATTGGTTGAAAACGAACAACTTGCAATTTTTTGGGAAAGGAAGGGAAAAGTCGCGCGTCTTTTTCTTTCAATAGTAAACTAGTGAAAAAAAATTGTCCGAAACAGTTGTTCGAGTGAAACAAACGTCGTGTGATATGGGTACAGGAAAATGTGTGCGCGCTGGGTTCCAACAGCCTTCTATGACTATGGGATACAAAAGCTTGTGCACCGACTTAACAAATGTTTGGATAACGGGGGTGGTTATGTCGAAAAGTAATAAATACTCCAGTTAATAAGATGTAACTGACGTTTTCTAAATAAATGTTTTTTTTTTTTTTTTTTTTTTTTTTTTTTTTTTTAAGGAATGCGAGCCATTGTATCTTTACTTTTCGAAACGCCCTCGTATATGTAAAACTTACTATTAAACAAGAAAAAACTATACAAGAAAGCCTAGTTAGGCAAATGTACAATTAAAATAAATAGCTAAAAAGCTATTAACTGTTATAGCTATAACATTTACCTATATATGATAAATTCTCAATCCTTCATGAAATATTAGTAAGATGTGAAACGCAGGCGTTTAGATTACTCCATTTATATAGGGTTCTGAGCTACGACAAAACTTTAAATGTTGCGTATGAAATAAACAAACTTACCTTTGCATATTTTCTCTCTATAATCAAATTGCTTACTGGCATTCGAACACTGGCATCTTCCTTTCATCTGAGTAGCATCGTACTCACATGTAACATTATTATCTATACCGCAAGAATCGGGTTCATCACAGTCCATAACATGAGAACAAATGTTAATGTCTTTCCCTGGTATGCATTGACAATATTTCGATGCTCCATCTCTAATGCATTTGTGTCCATTTTCGCAGTTACTATCATCTTCGCATCGCGCTGAAAAGATTTCAAAATTGGAGTTAAATAAAACATGATATAAATAACTAAAAACGATGGTACTTTTCAGTTATATGGACGCCAAAACCATAGTCAAAATGTACAGTAATGGGTCGAAGACAGCAACAATAGTCATCTCTGTTTTATGAGTAAAACCTGAGCCAAATATTCATGGGTTATAATTTGCAGCCTTTTTTTAACTGCATAAAACATAATTTGATAGATGACTTTCTTCGTATACATTATTTCACTAAAAGCAATTTTTATAGAAAAAAAAAGAAACTGCATTTCAAAGTCTGGGATTTACCTGGGTAAAGATGAGGAGGAAGACAATGAAGTTACTTCAGGATAAAAGGAATTTTTCTAAGCGAAAATTTTGTGAAAAAAATCATTAAATGAACTTGCGTTTTACCGATTACGATACGCCAAAATGGCGTTGCAAACTTAGATCTTGCCGAGAAAAATAGGTACCAGATGTCATACTTAGTTTGAATTTTCTTTCAGCTGTAAAATTTATCTACTCTTCGTGCCATAAACTGACCTCAGTTGAGTTTTGTAATATGCAATTAAAAATGAATAAACTAAAAATTAAAAATGAATAATAATAAAATAACAGAATAGTAGAGATTGATAAAAGTCTTTTTTACGAGAGTAAAGAGTAACACTGGACGCGTTCTTCCTCCGCAGTGGGTTTTGTATAACATATGTAGAGAAACAAAAGAATTATTGGAGAAGTCAAACATCAAGAATCAGCGTTATATTTGCAAATTTTGCAGGACTAGTTTCGATGATTTAATTACAGAACCATCTATCTCAGCTGCCAAAGTGCAAATGAATGAGGTAAGGTATGGTAGTAAGATAAGATAAGAATAGCAGGACAGAAGTTAAGCCGTTTGCGCCATCTATTGATGAAATAAGAAACTAAAACATAATTTTCTTAACGAGTGAAGATAAAAATGGATTGGAATTAAGGTCGCTAACTAGAACAGGAATATTGAATATTTTTTTTGAATGTGAAACGCCTCAAGAAAATCTAATTCACCAATGGAAGATATTTTTGAATAATTTTGGCTGCAGAAAAATGGAAAATGTGATTTTTGGACCATCAGCGTTGGGCAACAGAGGACTTATGTGTTTCCTTTTTCGTAACATATGTCTCATAATCTTTAACACGAAATTTTAATATCTGTTCTAGTTAAGGACCCTAATTCCAACCCTTTAAGAATTTATGTTTTAATTTCTTTTTTATCAACAGATGGCGCCAGTAACTTAACTTCCATCCAGCCCTTATCTTATCACCATACCTTATCTCGTTCACTTGCACTTTGGCCGCTGAGGAGATAGTTCTGTAATTAAGGCACCAAAACTAATCCTGCAAAATTTACAAATATAACGCTAATACTTGTTGTTTGACTTCTCCAATAATCATTATTCAGCTTTTTATTTTAACCTAAACAAAAGAATGTTTTCTTGTAGCCGTTTCGGATCGCTCAGCTAAACTTTACTTTGCGCGACTGAACAAAATGTCGCAGACGATATTAAATTTTCTTTGATTGCTGGAAATGATATAAAACGAAGGGTTTGAAAGAAGCAGTATATGATCAACTGACAGTTAACCTCAGATAAAATACGCAAACAGTTGAAAGAATGTGTGACAGTTCAAAATGGCGTAATAAATGTCAACGTGGCACCTCACGCCTCCATTTTGAATCACACTTAATGGAGATTATGTGCGATGATTACATCAAAAAAAATGAATTTTTTCTCCAAAATGTTGCTCAAACATCCCTAAATTCGTGGCCCCGGTTCAAATTTAAATTCCATTTCGTTCATAATGTATTAAAAATTTATTATTGCTGTTGTAATAAAAAATATCTTATGTCTTTCAGCGGCGCCTGTTTAACAGAAAAGTATCCAAAAATATTCTATAGTCGTAAAAAAATTGCAATACTTCATCTACAACTTTCAGCAATGAAAACAATTCGTATGAAAATAATTTGATGTATATCTTACAAAAGAGTACAGTGCAACTTCAATTTTATGAATTATAAGAATAACGATACGTTTAATTTGAATTTCATCATTGCATGTCCACTGGATGCATGAATAGAAAACTGAAAGGCATTAGGACACACAGTTGAAACTAACCAAATTGAAAAGAAGACTTGAATTAGCTGTTTTAACTAAAGGCAATATTTTATATTACATATACTCGTACGTATATAACTAACAGCTCAGTTTTTGTTATTTTATATGCATGCATTCTCTACAATATACTAACATTTATTCCTTGTGATTTTTTTCTGTTATTTCTCATAACATTATCTCAGTGAGCTGTGATGTATCAACAAAAGTGACAAACACGAACTTCAATCTTGTTAACTGTTAGTGCAAAATGTCATAGCATTGCCCCATAAATTTAGATACACCTAAACTAGCATCTAAATAAATGTAGTATTCATTTATATGTGATCTTTTTTCTTCTTTAGTCTAACGTCGCAATGCCAAAGAAGGTTCCCTACTTACAAGCATCGTTGCTAGAAGAGTAAGGAAACCTATGCTTTCAAGAAAACAGCCAAATAGAGCAGCATTTTTTCAGAAAACCATTTACATTTTTTAAAATTCTGTGTTTTAGTTATAAATGGCATCTTCTCTCAGCCGCTTAATATGTTGGTAAAAGTGAACAAAAAAATAGATAGCATTACTCCGGGCTGCTGCCAAAATCAAATTTACGGGAAAATAATAACCATGTAGCGCAATTGAAAAAATTTTAATCACATTATGAAATACAAATTAAAATTAAAATTTATCATTTGAAGACAAAAACTATGGAATTTCCAGAACTCACCGAAAGATCAGTGAAATTCTAGTATTCACGAGTTACTCTTTTTCAAATAAGATCAGTAAAATCTAGTATTCAGGAGCTACTGCTCTGTTGATAAAATCACTAAAATTCTAGTATTCACGAGCTATTGTTTTGCTGAAAACATCAGTAAAACCTAGTATTCAGAACTTATTTTTTTGCTGATAAGATCACTAAAATTTTAGTGTTCAAGAGTTACCGTTTTGCTGATAAGATCAGTAAAATCTAGTATTCAGGAGTTACTGCTCTAATGATAAGATCAGTAAAATTCTAGTATTCACGAGATACTGTTTCTCTGATAACGCCAGTAAAATCTGGTATTCAGGAGTTGCTGTTTTGCTGATAAGATCAGCGACCTTCCAGTATTCACCAGTTATTGCTTTGCTGATCAGATCAGCAGTATTCTAGTATTCACGAGCTACTATTTTGCTGATAAAATCAGTAGCCTTTTGGTATTCAAGGGTTATTCCTTTCCCGATGAGATCAACAAAACTATAGTAGTCAGGAGTTACTATGTTGCTAATAAAATCAGTTACCTTTTAGTATTCAAGTGTTATTGCTTTGCTGATAACATCAGTAAAATTCCAGTGTTCAGGAGTTATTGATTTGCTGATGAGGTCAGTAAAATCTAGTATTCAGGTGTTAGTGTTTTTCTGATAAAATCAGTGAAATTCTAGTATTCCCGAGTAATAGTTTTGCTGAAAAAATCAGTAACCTTCTAACAGTCGCGAGCTACCGTTTACTGATAACAGCAGTAAAATCAGGAGTTGTTGCTTTGCTTATAAGACCAATGAAATTTTAGTATTCCGAAGTTACTGTTTTGCTCATAAGATCAGTAAAAATCTTGTATTCAGGAGTTCGTGTTTTGCTGATAAGATCAGTAAAATTCTGGTATTCAGGAGTTACTGTTTTGCTCATAAGATCAGTAAAATATTGTATTCAGGAGATAGTGTTTTGCTGATAAGATCAGTAACCTTCTAGTATTTACGAGTTAATGTTTTGCTGATAAGATCAGTAAAATTCTAGTATTCAGGAGTTACTGTTTTGATGATATGATCAGTAAAATCCTAGTATTCACGAATTACTGTTTTGCTGATGAGATCAGTAAAATTCTGGTATTCAGGAGTTACTGTTTTGCTCATAAGATCAGTAAAATATTGTATTCAGGAGATAGTGTTTTGCTGATAAGATCAGTAACCTTCTAGTATTTACGAGTTAATGTTTTGCTGATAAGATCAGTAAAATTCTAGTATTCAGGAGTTACTGTTTTGATGATATGATCAGTAAAATCCTAGTATTCACGAATTACTGTTTTGCTGATGAGATCAGTAAAATTCTAGTATTTACGAGTTACTGTTTTGCTGATAAGATGAGTAAAGTTCTAGTAATCAGGAGTTACTGTTTTCCTGATAAGATCAGTAAAAGTCTAGTATTCACGAGTTACTGTTTTGCTGATATGATCTGTAAAATTCTAGTATTGAAGAGTTACTGTTTTTACGTGGTACTCGAAAGTAAATTGAAAAACATGAAACTTACTTTTGCATATTTGCTCAACATAATCAAATTGCTTAGATGAGTCCGAACAGTTACATACAGCTTGCATCTGGGTAATGTCATACATGCAGGAAGTTTCGTTGCTTGTTCCACAAAAATCCTTTTTCTTACAATCCGTAATTTCAGAGCAAAAATCGCCTTCTGTACCTGGCATACATATGCAAAATTTCTTACCAAACTCACCAATGCACATTCCACCATTGGCGCAGTCATCGTCTTCGTAACATATTTCTGAAAATATCACAAAGTTTGAGATATTAAAACATGCGGTGTAACTAATGGAGATGATAGTAACAAAAATCAACATGAAATAAATAAAATCAAAATGGTTGCAGGCTTATTCTCTTTTTACTTCCACGTACAAAGAAAGTATTGTAATCACAAAAAATTCCGAGTAGCTTATTTCAACGAAAATATCCATTTTGACTGCTATCGAATGCAATTTAACGACGTTTTTGCGTGACATCATTACGTAAGTTGCGTAGGTTACGAGATACGTACGTACGCACAGACGGCACAACTTCTCTTCAGAATTTATTTTAATTCAGTTTTATAATTTTTTTGGGGGAGGGAAACAATCCTTTATTCTGTTCATAGGTACAAATGTCATGCACAAACATCGCTAAATTGCATTCGCTAGCGACGAAAATGGATATTTTCGTTGAAATTTGATGCCTGAAACTTTTCGCGATTACAATACTTCCTTTTTACTTCGTACAAAGAAGTAAAAAAAATGATTTAAAATGAATTCAGAAGAAATTTTCTCGTGGCTTCTATACGTATGTATGTATCTCGCATAACTCAAAAACGTGTAGTTTCAGAACTTTGAAATTTTGCATGTAAAGTGCTATAATATGTAATGTGCACCTCTTATTTTGGTTGCAATTGGCCATACGAAATATATATATATATATATACACCCACTCTATTACTCGACTCAGTGAGCTTAATTTTTTACTTCTGTAAGATTCCAATCTTTTCACTTACAGCTAAAGTTGAGGAACCTTAAGAACTGGTAAGCGAATAATCGCTTTAGTTCAGTAGACAGAGAGAGCACGCGAGGTAAGTACTTCTGCTGTTTTTGTAACATACAGTTTTGGCGTTGTTTTGGATGCCAACTTTGTTGGAAACATTGGTTTTGGGCATAATTCTTGGCGTCATAAATATCACCAAAGGGTATTGTTCCGTCAGAGCAGCGTCAGTTAAAAATGTGCCACATTTTTGCCTCCAATTCTCGCCAAGTATTAAATTATAAAATAATAATAGACTTCAAACAATAAAAAAAAAATTGGTGCTTTTCCGTTTCGCCGGCGCAAATCTCGCCAAGCAGATTGTATTGGCGACAATATATAGTATACATGTAAAAAATGTTAACGAATGTTAGTTCTAAGAATTTTTTTTTTTTTATTTTGAAAGCACAAACATTTTAATATCGCTTAAAATTTTGTAAAAAAAAAATTGTAAAAAGACATTAATTCAAGAATTTACTATGCTTTCATCGTTCAACATCATGATTCGCCGGTTCATATCACATGAACCTAAGTGATCTTATCTCACGTAAACTGCGCTACAAAATCTTGGCGAAAACATGGCGATTTTCGACGGTACATGGATACCGAGTTTATGTAATTCTTTGATTTGTTATTTCGGCTTGTGTAAAAATCGCCGCTACACAAAGCCATGATAATAAGAGAAATAATTGCACAAACTCGGAATCCATGTACACATCGACCTATTTTCACTTAAATCCCAGAATTGCACAAAAATGGATTTGCGCACTCCCTTGACTTTTTCCATGTATACATCGAACTATATTCACTTGAAAGTTCAAAGAAACAGCCAACAAAAAATATGTAATCTGAATAAACTGCATTTTAAATCAAACAATGAAATAACACAAAAATGGAAATTCCTCTTAGCAGTACATGAAGGAAGTATCCACTTACCTTATTTACATATTTACGCGTCTTCAGTTAAACAGAATTTCTTAACAGCATCCAAACATTTCCTAAAATTATCTGAACTAGAATTTGTATCCTGGTGTAGCTATATAAATTCACAAAAATAAGAGTAAAAAATATCTTTCGTTCGAAAATATCCAAAGTTCAACCATACTCATTTCCTCTCCCCAAACAAATTCCTTCCTCCAAAATACTCATTTCCTTCCTCCAAAATACTCATTTCCTTCCTCCAAACAAGACGCTTTATAATGGCTACTAAGTAAACTTTCATTTACACACCAGTCAATTAAACTTTTCCCGGGGGCTGGGACATATGTGTCCCATACTAAGGATACAGCAACTGGGGGCTCGGGACAGTTTGCCGTTGATGACAGGGATACGAATTCTAGCGCTTGAGGCTTGATGACTATTTTACGACACCCGGGAGAGGGCATTCTTTTGCGGGATTCCGCTAATGGATTGGGGAAAATTGTCGGTGTTTTAAATCCACATGGCTTGTTTGCAAATTCGGTATCTTCCAGGAAATATTTTGTTGAGAGGAGAAAATAAAAGAACAGTTTGTTACCTCGATTCTCACGCTTTTGCGTTTTCAGGTTTTTGCCTGTACAAATGAGGCTTGGAGGTCAAATATCAAAGAAATTTTATTTTCGGAAGCTCGGCTGCTAAAATTCTTCGGAAATTATTTTAAAACCTTGAATGTACTTAAAATTGGATAATTTTTTCAGTTATTTCTAATTAAATTCTTTTTAATTTGGTTTCGAAACTGTCTTCGATTCATTCTTTTCATGAGTGTTTTATCACTTTATTCCAATTTTTAGTATAAGGCAGTGTAGTAATATAAATATTTCAGGTAATGAAAATTAATTTTAATGTTATTTCTAAATGACATGCATTCCACGACTACCGCTTACTTGAGTGAAATTTTGGTTTGTTATGTTCTAAATGATAACTAGCGGCCGAGCGAATAATATTTCTTTAACTCTGATAATTTGACCTCGATTGAAATTCCGATGAACGGATTGACTGCATGAACGTTTCTTGTTCTCTCACACATGTAAAGTGTATATCAGCCAATTTCCTTAGAACGCCCTCCACAAAAGCCCGTTTTGCTTAGGTAGATAACACTTTATTTAATTCGACAAATAAAAATAAAATTATATTCAAAATAAGAAAGCTAAACTTAGGAGAGTTCCATAACTGTGTTTTGAAACCCTTCCTTTTATCAATCATTTTAATGACTAAATGAATTTTAATTGTGCGACAAATGAAATATGAATTTTTATTAAAGCAATTATTAAGGAACATTTTCTAATTCAAAATTAAAAAAAGTTTCAAAACTTACTTATTTATTCTTTGTTATATGATTTGCGTCTATAATGTCATATCTGTATCAATTTGTTCAGAAATAAGATACGTTAGTTTAGGTTAATTGAATATGGGAAAGCACAGGAAGGCTGCCTACCTAAAGGAAAGCATGCCTTTGTGGAGAACTTTTAGGAGAAATTGAATCGTATTCACGTTTCACATGGGAGGAAACTTTGAAAACTGAAAACCATGCGGACCAGCTCGATTCGCCTGACGTTCGAAGTAACATGTCTAACTCACCAGCCATTCAACCGGCTTTAACCTTCAGCTACTTAGTAGTGTTCAGAAAGTAATTAATTTTTACGTGAGAATTCGTGTTTTGGAGGGAATCAAATAAGATATTGGAATGCTAAGCATGTATACAGGAATTCAGACGTGTACCTACTTTTTAGTTCTCCCTGAATTTAATTCCTCAGTGCGAATCTTCGTTAATATTCATTCCACTCAGTACGAATCTTCCATTCCCAGCTTCATTTCTTCCCAATAGAAAGCAACAGTAAATAGCTTGAGATATGAAAATTTCGCATAACAGTTTGATACCTCAAAGGCGATTTTAGCATTCTGAAAATATAGATAATAAAAAACTGAAGAAATATTTCGCCATTCGACAAAGATGTTTGCATATTGAAATTTCAATGCGTTCCTGTATATGCAATTTTGCATTCAAAGAAAAAATGGAGTAGCAATATAAATCATCGAACAACTGTTCCCTTTCTATTCTAAGGTTTAAAGTAGTATCTTATATCGTTAAGTGATAAAATTAAATTTTTGAATACATTAAAACTCAACAAAGATTTTATTTTTTAAAGCTCCAGGGTTTGCATCTGCATTTCTTTCTTGAACCAAAAACTATGAAACGATTAAATAAATTAAACATCTTATATCTCTGATGTAAAGGCAGATCAACTCTGGGACCGCTATTTTCAATGCCACATGGAAAAATAAATAAATAAAAAAAAAATTCTTGGCTCATGCATTGTAAATTTTTCTTAGTGCTGGACGTTGTTCAATATTAATTTAGTGCAGTACAAACGCAGTGACTAAATTCTATTTCTCCAGGAAAGAATATTACCATAGGTGTAAAAGTATTAACACTCATTTTGGAATCCGAAAATGCTTTTTAAATGGCACTTGTAATAAATAAACTCTATTTAATTTGCTCTTCAACATCAGAATAATAATACTATTAAAAATTTAAATGCATACATTGTTTGAAGGAAATGTTTTAATATATTAAATCACTGAATTTTCGATACGATGACAAGTGAATAAATATATTTAAGACTGATCACTTCGCTAGTTTTTTAGTATATAATATAGGTGCAAGTTTAAAAGACTATTTTAATCGTAAAATGGAACACTTTTTAGAACAAAATTTCTAGTTATAGCATACATTTCATTTGAAGGTAAAATAATACTTTTTCCCCCTTGGAAAAACTGTATTCATCTACTTACAGTGTGAAAGCGATTAGAGTACATCCCGCAATCTAACGCTTTGAGCATTGGAACTAGATTGAACAGTGGCGGCTCGTAATAAGCACTGTGGAACTGCAGCACCCCCTATTTCCACTTATTATTATTTTTAATATTTAATATAGTGTGCCCTTTAGTCTTTAATTCTTTCTTTATACTTTTACAATACATAATCCTTAAGCTTAATGTTGGTAGTCGTCCCCTACTTTGTGAAAAAGGTACGAAATTCTTCGTTTGGAACTGCGCGCTCCACAGTTGCAGCGACGTGGTGTTTGGCTGTTCTGCGCATGCGCACAGAGAAAGCAGCACGCGAGCCGGGTAGAGAGAAGAGCACTGTCGCTCTTGCAGTGCCGAAATTCTGGCATGTTTCCTTTGGAAACGTGATTTCTTTATACTCCGCGCGTCTGGTATTCCTCCAAAAGGTGGAAGTTCACCATACGAACCATAAACAGAGTTGATGAAAATTTTCAACCTTTAAAAAATTGCCTTACTGAAATTCAGTCAACGTCACATGCAGATCAAACTATTGCAAAAGCAACAGGAATTTTAAAATATCTAAATGATGATAATTTCAAGTTTTGGTTAGAGCTTTTTTATCAGATGCCTCATGGTGAAATAATATACAACTAAATGCAATCCAAAGAAATTAGTGTGTTTAATGAATATAACTTTAAACACACACTCAAAACTGCTATTTTAGAATTAAGAAACTCAAAATACTGGGAGATTTTTTCAAAGACACTGATGGCAGAAGCTAAGAAAATATGTGACTTTATACTATGTATTGATATAATGCACAGATATTCTTCCACTAAACACTGAGCAGCTGCTAAATTGTTAAACAAGAAATGCTTTGCTAGTTTTAGGAATGAACATTCTACAGAAGAAATAGTACTGACCACTGAAGCATATCGAATGATTGACAAAGAAAAGCTTGAAACCGAACTAAAAGTATTCTATTGTAGGTCTGATATCCATGAATACTGCAAATTAATTGAGCTACTGAAATTTATCTTCGAAAATAATCTAGATATGTTCTTAGTGAAATTACGAAACAGATAAAAATTCTCTTGAGAGTTACCATGACTACATCAGAGGCAGAAGGCTTCTTTTCAACATTCAAAAGAATGAAAAATTTTCTAAGAAGCACTAGGAATTCGGAAAGACTATATGCGCTTGCATTGCTTTCAATAAAGAAAAATTTCCTCAGTTGTCATCCAGAGATCAAGGAGAAAATTACTGATCTTTTCGCGCAAATTAAAACAGGAAGAATGGATTTCATTTTTAAATGAATAGACAAAGATTGAACTGTAACAATTTTGGTTAAAGTAATTAGGCAATGTTTAATTTTTTTTCTTGCAAAATTTCATGAGGTTTCAAAATAAATTTTTTTATGCATATTTGTTTCCTTTTAGACAATTGTGCCCACCAGCGGCCGAGCGGTAAAGACGCTGAACACTGGTAGTTCCGTCCGAGGTTCGAATCCCGCAAACGGGCTGGCTGCATGGGCGTTTTCATGGTTTTCCCCACTGTAACGTGTATACGAGCCAGTTCCTCTTAGAAAGTCCTCCACGAAGGCATCCCTCTAAGCAGATATCCCTCGTGTATCCTTTAGGCAGATAGCCCTCGAGTGCTTTGCCATTAATTAAATAATCCAATCCAATCCTTTTAAACAATTTTTAAATGTTAAATTTTTTGGAACAGCACCCCCCACTAATTTTAGCCACGAGCCGCCACTGAGATTGAAAGGAAATCCTGAGCGTTTGCCTGCCTGCCGACAAAAGCACTAATCACCTACTCGTTAAGGACTCGATTCAATAATTTTTCCCCCTTTCCATAACCGCTGAGCCAAGAGCCCCCAGTGAAGGTACAGCCTTCGCTGTCAAGTCTGGATCGCCAAATTTTGCCGTCAACAAACTGCAAAGATTTATGCCCAAACTCGAGCAATGGTCCTCCATGTGGAAAATCGCAATTAATGCAGACAAGTCCAAACTTCTAATCTTCAAGAAAAAGAAGATGAACAGTCCTCTGACTGCCCAACTGAAACTTTTTCATACCGTGGTACCAGTGGTTAAAAACGCAACATATTTAGGACTCAAGTACAATTCTAATTTCCTGTGGAAGGAGCATGTAGATTATGTCAGAGGCAAGACAATAGGTTTCATACTAAGTCTTACGCCCCTTCTGTCCGCGACTTCTAAATTAGATTTAAAATGTAAAAGACATTTATATCTCCATAATACGGCCCATTTTTGCCTATGCGTCCCCGCATGGGCTTCGGTTCAGAAGAAAGAGTTAAGCAAACTTCAGGTTACTTAGAACAAAAGTTTTAAGAATGATTACAAATGCCCACTATTACGTCTCGCATGGAGATTTAAAAATGGATTCAGTAGAAGTGTATCTACATAAAGCTAATGTAAACTTCTTTAAAAAAGAGCAGGATTGCAATCACATGACTGACCTTAATGTATTAAATTATGTTATTCTCGAGGAAGATGCTATGATACGACCACTTGAGGCCCACCTCACTCGGGACTTAAAATCTATTTTCCTACGTAATTTGCCTTACAGACTGTGCAGAGCTCCTGTGCATTGTATATATATTCTTGTATTTTCTCTTGTATTTATATCAAAATTTGTATTTTATTAATTTCATATTTCAGCATCCTATGTACCATAATTGTATATAACTATATCATTCATGCATTTATATGAATCTTTGTCTTGTATTTTATATGTCTTGAAATTATTTGTCTGGATATGTTCCTGTGTCTTACTTAATGCAACAACACAACATGCAACACAGTATCCTCACGGCTCCTGATTCATGCACTTCTCATCGCTCTTGCCTCTCAACGGCTTTGCGATTCACGGTCGCCCCCTGTAACCACCTTTGACCGTACCTATTTGTCATGAAGTTTAATGTCATGTGCCCACTGGTCTTTATTTTCTTGAGTCGGACAAATCGCGCTTACGCGCGATATTTCGGCAATATCCCTGCAGACCAGACCAGACCCAGTGAAGGTACACAACTGTTTTTTGAGCCCACGGGAAAAGGTTAATGCTTGTTTCCCTTTCGTTCCAAATCCAACAGAAACTTCAAATTAATCTTACCACATTCAGCGAATTTACCGTGTAAACCACAAAATAACAACGTACTTATCCAACACACACAAGGCCTTACCCAAAATCCGACACACAGTGTTCAAATTTTTTCCCATGATTCAAATTCACCGCAACCAATCACGTCATAATAGGTTTTCCATAGCATTCAACAACTCGGGTTGTCATAAATGAAACAACAACTTGGCGATAAATGAAACAACTTGGCGATAAATGAAACAACTTCGCGATAATGCAAGGGGTACCCTAAAGTCAACTCTAACCGCGTGGCTGTTGGCGCATTTTGACTGGTGCCGCTCTAACGGAATTGTACCCACCAAATATGTCAATGTGAACTTTTACCAGAATTACAAACACAACATCATCTAAAAAGCTGCCAATAGAAATAAGAATGTAAAAAAATAAGACAATCAAATATCACTAGATAATTTAGTAAAGTCTGTTTTAGTTTACAAAGCTAAGACTTTTTGAATTAGCATGTCTCATATTAAATACATAGCCATCTGATACTATGATGAAGAGAAAGAAAAAATAAGAAATTTACTTCTGCACAATTTTTGTCTGTTATCAAACACTCTATTACTGGATGAACAATGGCATACTGCTTTCATTAGATTTCTGTCGTACGCACATATAGCTGTTTGGTCGCTACCACAAAAGTCATCTTTCTGGCACGCAACAATATCACGGCAACAATAACCCTCGGTTCCTTCCATGCAGATGCACATTCTTCCTCTGTTACAGCGAACTCCGCCGTTCTGGCATGTCCCAAAGTAACAATGACTCATTTCTGCAGAAATTAACAATTAATACTGAAAAATAAGAATAACAACAACCTTCATATTAAAAATTAATTTTTAAACATTAACAAAAAATTTTAATCCTTTCATATTATGCATGTTATGGACATACGATTGCAAAAATTTAACAATTTCAGCTAAAGAAAGTGATCTTCCAGCTTCGGAGTCAGACATTATGCCCAAGTACGCATTTTATAATCTTTAATTATGATTACTGTAGATATCGAATATCTTACATTAGAAAAGGCGAATGTGCGCTCCCGGGATGCGATGTTCACTTGCATATTTACAAAGCATATTGACCTTTTCTTCTACGTCTACTCTCATTGGATGACACATCTGCTTCATATTTGGAAGGGCGAGTTATCGCCTTGTAGGCTGTGTAACGAACGCCAAACACACCTTGTGGGCTTTCAGTAAAGCGAGGAGGAACATTTGTATGATTAAATTTTTATTTTGTGAATGAAAGCTAAGAAGAATTGGGTGAAATGTATTTTAAATAACCTACTGATCTTGGTAGTTTATTTGGAATTGATTAAAGAATAAATTTAAACTGTTAAAAGTACGGTAATTGTTTTGCAAGAAAAGTGTTTACATGGAACATACTCGTACGTACTTTTTCGTCTTTTCTGTTAGAAAGAGTCTATTATGTAAATTTCCATAGTGCATTAATTTATGCGAAGGCGTCAATGAAACTGTATAACGAAAGGGAAATATATAACTTTCAAAGCACGTAAACAAGCGTTATGCGAGATCTAAACTAAACCATTATCTGAACATAGTGGGGGAATATGGTAAAATAAATCAAAACACAACAAAAACCAAATGAAAACATTCAATAAACGTTTAAGGGCGTCGGACATCTATTCTTTGTGCTTAAATTATCATTAAAATATGACTAAAATAATATTTTATTCCAGTATGCACTATTTCTATTTTAATGCTTTTTGGTAGACCACGCTCATAAACAAACAAAGGCGATGGAGCAAAAGTCGTCCAGCGCAAGATTGTGTAACCCTACGTTTGCTGTCTTAACCAATCGGAGCAAACCGTAGAAGAAACTGTCTGTAGGTTTTGTGAATATGTCTGGTTGTTAAATATTTGCATAATCGTCTGTAGTAACGGTAACCGCCGTCAATAAAAGGTGGTGCTTTTGTTGGTAGCGGTGCAGTTCGTTTTCTGTTCGAAGCAGAGCAGACCTGCCGAGAGGAGATTTGAGGGGATGATGGTTTCCAGTCCAGTCCAGTCCAGTTTCAGTCCAGCCGTTTTTGAATCCAGTTCAATTTAAAAGGGGATTTATGCCAAAGGGACCAGACGGATTTTTGTCCTTATAAGATGTGTTCTTTTCCTCAGTCGCCGAATAGCTGAAAGTTCAAAGCATTCCTAGGAATGTGCGGGTATTTTTCCCCCTAAGATGTTACGTTTGTTCATGATGTTAAGTTATCATCATTTAGGAAATTTTAGTTGAATAAACCTTCAAGTTTGGACAAGGTTTGTGTTTTTCAGAAAATTAAGATTCGAAGTCAGATATATAAAATAACATTACCATAGGTTTTAACGTGAAGAACCAACACTGGTCGTTCGTTACTTTTTCGGATGGCACAGACTGTCCTTCACCATTAGACAGACTTGTATCATCGATAAGCAAGAGGACGTTGTTTATCGATTAAGAAGTTTTCAAATAAATAAAATTTAATTATTTATTACCTCATGAGCTCTACCGAGCACATGAGATAGTTATTATTTAAATCGTAGAACATCATCTAGTCACTAGATTCTAATATGTATTTTATAATCGTGCATTATTTTTGCTTAGACACCAATACAGACATATATTTTTTAGATTCATTAAATGCACGATAGCTGTTTCTTTACTAATAAGAGAACAAAGCTAAGCATATCCATACTTTTGATCATTGTATCAGTAGTATGAGCCAGTTTCTGTTTATTAATACCTTTTATAAAAGTGTCACGATGAATTAATTCGAATAATAGAAACGATTGGCTGTATCATACAAAGTTATTCGAATTGCATCCAGTCTCTTATGTAACAAGAAAAAAATTAAATATGAAGGTAAGCTCTCTTCCTTTCTGCAAGGTTTTCTGTATGCAACTTTATCACAATTCTGCATAAAACATAATAGAAGCATCGACACTTCGTAATCCATTACAAAGTGCAAAGTATATCAGCTTCTTGTATCTTATCTTTTCTTCTGGCGTTAGCTACTAAGACCTATAACCAGTAAATTAACATTATACCAGAGGCCAATAAAGTTTTTTTTTTAAGTTAAAGGTGTATATGTTTAAATACACTGCTTCCGAGGGCGAGATCGATACATGAATAAACTCAGCAATTCAGATTTTAAGTAAAATAGCATATCATGGCATGGTATCATTCAGTGGCGTAGCTAGGGTGGGGCAAGGGGGGACATCTCTGTTCCCGGGCGCAGCATCCAGGTGGCGCCAAATTGATGCTACAAAATGTAAAGAAATATTTTCCATTCTTGGCGCACAGAAAGGGGCGCAAATTCTTCTGTTTTCCCCGGGCGCTAGAATTCTAGCTACGCCACTGGTATCATTGCCGTGGTAATACTTCAAAGACATTCAAAGTAGAAAGTCCTAAGCGGTGTAAAAAACCCGAGTTAGTTTTCCCTCTGAGGGGAAGATATGATGAATACGAGAGAAGATGGTGCTTCATGTTTGTATGCTCGAACGCTGACTGGAGCCTGTGGGAAGAAATGCCGGTCGAGGAGCAGGGGGGCGTGGCCTAGTCGTAGTTATCAATATCAACTACTTTGATACTTTCATACAGAAGTATTTATACAGGGGGTCTTCTGCATTCGCAGTACTTCCCTGTAAACCTGATGTAATTCCACAATGGGCATGGTGATGAATAATGCCAGAATAAATTCCATGGAGGGAGCAGTGAGCGGGAGGAGATCAATATCAACTTTTCCCCATCGATGGGGAAAGGGCAGTCTGTGCCATCCGAAAAAGCGGTGACGGCGTTTACAGAATGTTAACTTTTGTCTTACCATTTTTTATATTCACGATACTGTTTATACTTAGGATGAAAATTAAAGAACGTATCTGAATGATTTGCTTCTGCTATCTTCATCTGTAAAAAATTGTTACTGCTGCAGTGAAGTGTTTTTACAGAAAATTCGCCATTTTGGTCGAACACCAAATCTTTAGTTTTTCCAACTTGCAAAAACTAAAGCATTTCCAGCTCGAGGATTTTCAACGCATTTTCAAGCGAGTATATTTTAAACCTCGAAGACTTTTACACTTCTCACTTGATATTTAGTTTGGCAGAGTAGCAACACAAAGACGTTACAATCTTAAACGCCTTCTCTCACCGAGAACTTATCGAAAGAAAGTTCTTTTTAATAACCCAAAATGGGCTTTAGTCCAAGTGTGCAATTAGTCTCGAAGCGGGATTTTGCGTTGAATCAGTATAAGCGGCCTATTGCTTTTCAAATTGTTGGTACCAAATATTATTGTCCTGTAGTATTTTTAACGAAATTAAAGGATCTGCATGAATGTGTAGAAGTACGAACGTATTCAGAATTATATAAATATTTAAGTACTAATAATTTATCTAACAGTAATATTAAAAACAATAAATTAAAATTTACGCTTATTTAAATAATCGTTTGTAAAATTTAACTAAATGAAAATACCACTATCGTAATTTTTATTTCAAACGGTTGCTAAGGTGACAATTTTCCTAAAAAAAGAACAGCATTGTTTATAAGAATGTCAGCTGATGGATGAATTTAAAATAGGTTAAAATCGTCGGTAAAGAGTAAATAATATTGATTGTAATAAAATGGTTCCATTAGTACCAACATTGTTTTATTTCAGTGTGTTTTCATTATCTGGTGACCACAAATGTGTGAATGTTTTGCCCAATGTGAGAAAAGGACGTCAAATTTTACAGCCGTCAAATTTGTAATAACGTACAAATTGTGGTTAACGTATCCGAGCATGTGCACCTTAAAGCCCGAGTTTCGAATTTTGAATTTGTTTTATTATCTGTTTCATATTTTGTAAAACTTTAACGAATTTTTGATTGAGAAACTCAAACTTAGATTTTTAAAGTCTCGCAGGCTGGAGATAATTTTTTGGTATTGTTATAAGGCATTTCTCCCGCCTTCTTCGCATGCCTTCGTAGTACAGTGGTCGGCACGCTCGACGCGTATTCGAGAGGTCCGTTGTTCGAGTCCCGCCGAGGGCATTGCTCATTTTTCATCTCTCCTGCTTCGAAATAATCTAATGAGTCTACAGTGGCGCCCGAAATAAAAATGGTAGTGAATAAATGATTCTTCACCACCAAAATTTGGCGATTAGGTTCCCAGATCCCAGTCGCTCTTTAAAAGGGGAAGTATATAACGTATTTCTCCCGCCTTCTTAGCATTTCCGCCTCTCAGGTTCTCTGCGCTCTCTCGGGCCATGTGGATTCTTCCTCTACCTTCCCACCTTAGTCTTCCGTAATCCCACGTGCAGACAGTTAACGTCAGGAGCCCGCTGGGCATATCTCGCTGAGCCGGTAACATCGCGCTTCGCGCGATAATTCGGCTATAAATGTTCGGTTCGGTTCTTAGCATGCTTTCGTAGTGTAGTGGTCAGTACGCTCGACGGATATTCCAGAAATCCGTGGTTGAGTTCCGGCGAGGGCATTGCTCATTTTTCATCCTGCTTCGAAATAACCTAACGACAGTAGTAACAGTGTTGCCATTCCTTGCTTTTAAATCGTTGAGTTTGTTAATCAAAAATTCGTCGAATTTTTACAAAATATGAAATAGATAATAAAACAAATTAGAAACTCAAAATTCGGGCTTTCGGGTAGAAGATTACGTTAATCTGAATTTAATGCTCTAGCAACCGTCATTTTTTCACAATGCAGGAAACGTACATGCATTAATGCAGATTCCTCATTATTTAATTTCGTTAAATAATGAGGAAGCGATAGTATTTGGCGGCAACA